ATATTCATGACAGACACCTTTACTCTGTCATGTGAATTTAGAACCAACATCCTTGCCCTTCTGTAGGATCCTTTAAGAAATTCCTTGTTGTAAGTTCTGAATCATTAAGTTAATTTGCAACAAACCAGGCAAAATCTCTTCCCTTTTATAACCTTTCTTATGATGTCTATCTGCCATTAATGCAGATGGCTGTACAGTGCGTTATATCCTATGATTTAAGAGAAGCACATGTTTCAGAGCTGTTCTGATCTGGTTTATTATGCCTGTCTTGTTTCAGCCAAGGTTCTTTTTATTTTGTGAGAAAGGTCCAAGTTATTTCTATATTTTTGTAATGGAAAAAGCTTCTCCTCCCTACAGGCCTTGCATAAAAGCCATGGATTTTAGCAACTTCATTCAGGGTTTTTTTCAATAATTTCCTTTGGGCCTTTATTCCTTTCAATGAGATTCCAAGTGCGTGAACAGACAGCCACAGTCTGCTGTGAGGTTTGTGGGAGCTGTTTACTGAAATTTGCTAAATGGTTCCAAAAGCTACCTCTGAAAGGCACTGAAAAAAATATTTTTGCAAATATAATGGAACCTTCTACGCTTCCACATTGTGCCTGGCTGTGCTGGATTTTCAGAGTTTAACCTTGCCTTGTCTTGGATTGTCTTCTACAGTAAATACTTTGACAGAAGCTTTATCTGTGAATTTGTGGTTTGAGATATGTTTCTTTTTTTGGGATTTTCTGTGACTCATACAGTTTCTGCCTCTTGCCCAGTTTTCAACTCTTCTTTGAACATCGGTTCTAAATTACAAAATAAATTACAATTTGCTTGCACTCTTTGCCAGAGAAGAACATTGAACACTGCAGTTACTGCCTGCAGGGCTTTCTTCAAAGAATGACAGTATACCTTTTCTTAGAGAGTTTTTAGTCATTCATAATTCACTGACTCTTGACATTAGAAGAAAAGCTCTCTGGCTTGTTTTACCGTTTGGTAACATGGACAGATGATGATTAATTAGTGCCCATACATGATTTCTGATGCTTTTAACATTGATACAATCACATCAGTTGCACTGGAATGCAAGTCACAGTGTGCTATATGTTATCTGTTCCTATTCCCTGTCTTGTTTGTCTCATGCTATGTACTGTGTATTGTTTTTGAGCAATGGGGTTCATGTCATTTAGCATCGTATGGTTTTCTCAAAGCAATTACAGCATGTCCAGTATTTTCTCATGTAAAATAACCAGGACATAATATCCTTACACATATGCAGTACAGTACTTATCTGTTTCGATTATTCGATTATTCAATTATTCAATTATTGTATTCATACATTCAAGATTAATCTTTTGTTTATTTTTTGCAGAGAATTGAAAAATGCTTGTTAAAAGCAAGGGGTGAGGGAGATGTCTGTTTATGTGCTTTTAAACCTGAAGTCATGCACAGGTGGTGTTGCTTCAGCTCTCTGTGCTCTTGCTATGGCTGAAGCGCACTGCCTCGGAGCGCAGTGCTCCTTTCGGGGCACGCTCGTGTGTCGCTGCCATGGTAGAGCTTCCCTGAAAGGCACCGCAGTTCTTCCTGGGGGGGGGGCTGGAGCAGAAGATAGCGGCATGCCTCAGCTATGAGATGCAACACCCACTTCTTTTGAGGATCACTGCCAGTCAGTCAGCACCCTCATCAATGCTCAGATGCTGCTCTGATAAGACCAGCCAGCAGCAAGACATTAGTAGAGACCTCACTTTCACTCACTCTCCCTTTCTCTGGTGGCGGCCCCTCGCTTGCACCTCCACATAGGGTCATTCTTTAAGAGCAAAAATGGCATACAAATTTGGTTTTGAAGGACTTTCTACATACGAGTGTGGTTCGAAATTCATGACAATTATTTAAGCATTAAAAAGATAATCCAGTAATTAGTTGCTTTCTCTGTAATATTCTAGATCATTTCATCTTGCAGTTACTACATTGGCACATAACGGTTCATTAGTCAGTGGATTGGATCATTGTGGATTGATTAATTGAATTTTTCTTATCAGCTCCAGTCATGCCATCTCAGTTGCCAGAAGAGCATGGAGCACTAACTCCACTTGTCAGATGCTGTGCGCTTGGAAATATAACATTGTGCCATCTGGGCACACATGAAGCGTTCAGTTAAAAGAGAAAATACCTGATTCCATACAAAATTTCCTGTCTGCTGAACAAACATCTGGTCTCTTATGAATAATATGCATGTTTATTGTACACATGGCTTAATGACCTTAACAGACAGATGAAGCACATGGTCGTCATTAATTAATTAGAACCTCAGAATGAAGGTTGTCATAAGTTCTATAGAGACTAAGCAGACCAGAACCCAGCCGGTTTTCTAATCAGTGCTGCCTTGTCCCTTGCTTTCCAGGAGTTATACGAGGGCATCCCAGCTATTCTTCAGCCTGAAGATGCAGTCAGTGCCTCTTGTGGGTCTGTCATGTTTGGCAACTTGCCTGTCAATAACCAGAGGTCAGCACCTGAGTAAACAGAGATGCCTGTGTGGCGTGTGTTCTGTTCTCCCTGTTCTGTTCCTCCTGGCCCTCGCAGAGTGCACCTTGCCAAGGGCTCCCTCACACCACATACCAGAAAAGACTTCTCCTTCATGCTACATCTTCAAAGGCTGACTGAGTGCTTTAGGAATCTAATGTTGCATTCAAAGACAACAAACAGACAGAGAGGCCTTGCATCACAACAGCCCAGTCTGTTTGGATTACCTTCCTCAGATCTAATCTCCCATTCACCCTCACCACCTTCCTCCTCCACTTTCCTTGTACACAGTATAATGACCCATAACGACAGCAGAGTGTGCACCCTAACAGGACTTTTCACTGTACTATATGGTGCTTACAAATGATGACATTATGATTAAGGTGGTTTTAACTATTGTCCCTTATTTTCTGACGTACGTTTTGAAGTACAGACCTTACCTACCAACAAAAAAGCAAGCATAGAAAAAGTCTTTGACGAAGAATCCAAGAATAAATGTGTTAGACCTGAATAAGGGCAAAGGTTCCAGACATCTTCTTTGGTTTAAACAAGGTACTGTACTTTTCACTTGCTTACTCTAGTTTTACATTACAGAGCCCTGTGGAAAAGAATTGATTAAAATAATTTATTTTTATCCCCACTATACAGTACATGATTTTTCATCTCTGGGCTATTTCTGCCTGTTTGTCTACAAGTATTTCCTCTGTCTCTCCAGCTTTCCTCAGCACGCTCCATCTGTTCGTCTTTGAAGTATGTTCCTTGCTTATGAGATAACAGAATCCTTCCCTCACAATCGCCCAGGGGCTCCTGTCGGCAGACTTCCACTTAGAAGCTTGATATCTCTTTAATCTGAGCTCCACGCCACACAGCGCTTCTGAAACCTCTGCTGATTTGACCGGTGCCAAATTCTTCCACAAGGTGTCTTTTACAAATTTTATTGTTGAGTGTGACCTGGCCTGACCTTGGTCATCCCAGCATCCGGACATGCAGGAAATTTCTTTCTGCGCTTTCTAGTCTCTACTGAACAACTTGAATTTGTGCTTGTTCTATAATAAGACTTCAGAGTTTCAGTTTATATTTGACTTGTTTAAATTTGACTTGTTTAAATTGCAAACATTTTCCATTTACTGACTTGCACACTTTTTGAAGTCTCTCTAGACCTACAGTACATATACAGTAGCTGAGAAGTAAGTGTAAAAGCACAACTCCTATCTCCAGAATAATGCCAAACTACAGCCATTTTATAGCCTCTCAATATCTTGTCTCACCATCTGACAATAAATCTGTTTTGTCATATTGGCATGTTCCCTTATTTTTGATGCAGATCAATACAGAGAGAAAGCTGTAAATAAATTTTATGCCGCAACACATGCTTTGCCGAGAAACAAAATCAGTCCAGATTCAGCTTCAAATAAGTATACAGTAACTTCTGAGTATTTCTGACTCATGGGGAAAAATTACAAATTTGGGAGAAATTTGCTTTCCCAAGATAAAGGCAAACTGCAATTTCCTCTTGAATACAGATAATCAATTTTCTGCCCCAGTGCATCAAAAGTGACATATTTTGTCATATTTTGTGGATTGTCACAGGCAATACACGAGAATATGTGGATAGGGTTTTCTCATCATAAAAGGTAAAACAATCTTCTAAACTGAATTCTCTGACCCCTTTTTTTTTTTTTAAAAGACATACTCTATACCTCTGCACATAACATTTAGAGTATTTCGGCTGTTAATTGTTCTGAGAACTATTGAGAACTATTGACCTGAGAACTATTGTCTTTTAATCAATTTCTAAATCTATTTAAACAAGTAAAAAAATTGTAGGCTCTAAAATAATTATCAGTTTACTCTTAGACATTCAAGCCAGAAGGGTACTGTACTCTATTTCATTGTCCCTGTAATACTTGGGCATTTATTCATAGTACTTTGGGCAGTACCAGAAATGACTTTACTCCAACATTAATGAGCTAATGAAGAAGAAAACTGGCCAGTGACCAAAGTGCTGTTCTGATTTTGAAGGAAAGGGTCATCAGCTGTGTTGGACTTAACTACGAGTGAGTATTCCACAGAGACATGTTGACATACAGTAGCCTCCCTGCCTGCCATTCCCCTCGCACTCTGGCGCACGTTCTATCCCACTGTTGGTGATCTGCTACGTGGTTCATAGAGGATGAAGGAATCCTCCCGCCAGGTGGCTCTGGCAGTTTTCACCCTCCCAGTTATCATCTGAGTTCAGAAGCTAATCCGCCGTCCTTGAATCTCCAGTGCCACCTGCGTGGCTTAAAGTGATGTGGGGAAACGGTAAGGTACTGCTATTGGAAACATTCTGCACTTGGCACCTGATTCCTGACTGGTCTGAGAGAACAGCGCTGCTGAAGGGTTACTGAGGGTGTGAGGAGCACCTCCAGCAGGCAGGTACTGTAAGTGTGTCAGTGTCTGGTCTGCCCTCCTCTTGCGACCCAGGGCTTCACTCTGAACAGAAGGACTCGGCTGAGGTGCAGATTTCACTTTTTATTTCACACGGGAATATCTTCCACAAACTTCATTCTGCAAAAATATAGCTGTTTATTAAATGAATAGTCCAATGTTTCCTACTACACCAAACCAAAAGTGTTTTAAAAATAACGTATTTCTTAAAAACCGTGAACTAACACTGAAAGCAACAGAAAGAATGCTTGAAGGATTTGACATTTTCAGGAAAGAGGTTTCTATGCTGCTTCACTGTATTTGTGTTTTTAAAGCCATGTGGAAAACACAGGGGAAGGCTGTGAACTCAAAACCATTGGAAGTATAGACCTTGTTTAGCGTTTCAGTCCAGAAGGTGACAGGACTTCTTATTGTGAACAGAGAATAAGGCTATCATGTAGACCCAACAAGGAGCCACTAAGAAACCTTATTCTGAAAAATATTTCTCCTTTTCAGACTCTAGGTACTAACATTACTGTACATTGTGCCAAATGGACTCTGTGTTGAGTTAGTGCAATAAGTACTCCAGTGCTTGCAGTTTCTTTCAGTTAATCACATTATTTATTTAGACATCACCTACAATTCCATCATTAGGCAATGAATCCTTGTTTATTTGATGTATCTTAAAGGAGGTCTGCACTGCACTAGCCAACACAGTATCTAATTTCATTTTATTTTTCATTTGGGGTATGTTTTTGGGTGCTTGAAGACAGCACAAATCACATCTTATTAAAGCCTGTGCATTGGAGACAAAAAAAAGGGGTCTACGGAGGACCTTTCCTTGGTAATGAACAGGAATGCGGGTGTGCGTTTCTCATTGTGCAAATAATTTCCAGTCAATCACGAGCCAATGGCCATTTAACATGAAGGGATTCTGCTCTAGAGACAAAAAAATGTCTGAAGGAGATCCTAAACTAATATTTTGATTTTTTCGCTTGAGAGATTAAACTGCCAACTATTTCAAGTAACAGTCCATAACATTTTCAGTGGTTGTTCCCTTTTTTTTTGTTTCCACCAAAAAATAAAGTGTACTGCAGGAATTTCAAAAGATATATGGAAAAGCCATCTCTAGACTGTTGTAAAACAGCTGTATTGAACACCCATTGTAATGAGTACTTATTAAGATATGTTGCATAAGCATAGATATTTTAAACAGATTGAGGCTTTAAAATAAAATGTATAAAAAGCTTGGTGTGTTTACACAGACCATTTTATTTCATTATTAACTGAAGATTTTTCACAATTTTCCCTTTGTTTTCATTTTGAATTATTTAAATTAACATTATGCAGCATTTCCATTGTTACTTGTCATTACTGTAGACATTGGAAATTTAAGCACAACCTTCTGTAAAATTTATAACAATACTGCCCAGTAAAATGTACAGTAATATCAGGTTGCACACATTTTAAATAGGTCTGTTATTTGAAGGAAGTGAAGGCAGAAATTGTTTAGGTGTTCTATAGATCTGATTTATATAGATCTTAATTATGTGGAATGTAAAGGATATTTTTTTGGAAAGCAGTACTTTTGGTATGAAAGTGTTCAGAATTAATATACAATTTCAAGGGTGTCATCATCATACTGCTGACTACTGACAGAAGATAATAAGAAACACTCCTCCCTGTGTTTTTCCTCTGTTCATGTATTGTATCTGTCAGGGGAAAGTAATGGAGAACCATTGGGGCACCTATGTAGCTCTCTACATCAAGCTGAACTTGAAATGCAAGTCAGTAGAAATATGGGAATCCCTACCTCTTACTGTAATTTTTGTAATATCAAAGAGGAGACAATCAATGCCGTTGTCAATTCTGTTGCCTTCCTGCTAACAGCACCAGCAAGACAAAATGTCAATGAGATGGACAAGAAATAACAAAACCAAACTTTTTTTTCTTTAAATGTCGCTCATGTGTGAAGAAGGCTGGGCCATTATATGCACAGGTCATGCATCACACATTGGCTGAGGTGAGGAGGCCAGCAGATCTAGTTGACATGGGGAGACAGTTGTGGGAAACAATACAACAGTCCCAGAAACAGATTCCTTGCACACAGCGGGCATGCTCAGTTTAATATAAAGGCTCCAGGAAGGCTGACAGGGGAACTGTATGGAACCTGGTCCTTGGGGAACTTCTCGACCACTGGAGCTGTCCTGCCATGAAGTGTTCGTCTAGGAGCAGATTCTCTAGTGGCCAGAAGGAGCAGCTCTGGGGGTCCTGGGATCAGAAAGACTGTGGTGCTCAGGCCTGGAGCCACACAGTGAAGCCCAACAGAGGGAGAGAGAGCTGGGAGAGACGAGCAGAGAGCCTGGAGGATGATGAGCGATTCCCCCCAAAGTAAGCAATCTGAGCTGCAGGGGAAAGCAAGAGAGAAAAGGGTTTGCCTCACTTCGGACTTGAGTTCACTTGAAATGTAAGGATGGAGAGTTTCGGTGTTCGGTGAATAGAAGCAGTCCTGGAGTACAGAGGATGGACCTGTTTCATCCATAAAAACCTTCAGACTTGAGGGCCGTGAGATGGAGGGTGACAGAGCTTGTGATCATGACAGTCCAGAGCCTCAAGCCCATAATGGCCCCCAGCCCTGTCCCCACTCACCCACACAGGCTGTCCCATCCTCACTGGGCTCGTACCCCTGGCTGCACCGCTTGTTGGAGCGACACTTGTAGCCTCCGTAGGTGTTGACACAGACGGGCCGATCACGGGTACACACAGAAGGGAATTGGGTGCATTCATCTACGTCTATGGGAGACAGGGATGCGGGGGTTGGGGTCTGACAGCACAACTCACGGCCAGTAGCACAAAACAGTGTGGTCTTATCGTGTCCTCCAAATTCATACCCCTGATGAATTAGGAACAAAAAAACCTCATACAATAAAGGTTTGCCGATAGGATAATGTTCCTTGCTTTCAACAAAAAATAGTGTACTGTAATTATTAGTGCAATGCACACAAAGTCAGAATTTTAGTATTCTTGGTACAGAAAACCAAAGGGTCAAATTAACACTCTGTAGTTAGTGTTTTGTAAATCGTCCTCTGGCATGGAATTCACTGACAAAACACGTCCCTTGGTGAGCTATGAGGTTCTGGGACTTCTAATGGGAGAGTTTTGACCACTCCTCCAGGTCAGACTTCATCCACATGCTATTACTGAATGTCTCCCATGTTTTACTTCCTCTTATTACCCAGGGAAACCTTCAGAGCTTTCTATACAGTTCCAGAGTCTTCCATTGCACTTTCCAAAGAGCTGGATGTTACTCTAGATTGGTTTGTTTGGGATTTTATATAAAGGAATAGAAGTCTGTATAAATGTGAACGTCGTGCTTTTGGGTATAAAGTTAATTCTGAAAAATAACTAACCTGTTTAATGCTGTTATGATTATGATATGACATTTTTAGAATTTTAAGACACATTATCACTCATTCTTTTATTGTTTGTTGCTCGTATTTCATTGGGATGAATACATTTTGAGGACACAGCATATAAACTAATGTGCAAAGAAAAAAGACAAATAAGTTGCTGTACTGTATAAGCAAGGGCTGCCCAACCCCAGTCATGGAGGGCTGCTGTAGCTGTAGAGTTTCTTTCCAGTTTAGCTCTTAAACTCTCCTTTAAAGTAATTATTGGTTTGGTTAGTTCATTTTGATAAATCCCCCTAGCTCTTATGGCATTGTTGATTTAAAGAGACCTACAACACTGGGCCACCTTGCTCCAGAACTGGTGTTGGGCACTCTTTATCTTTTCTCTGAGCAATCCAACGGACAAAGGAGAATAGGAATATTGCTTTGACACATTGGTTAATGCAAAGACAGGGGAGCTTTGGGACAGGAAGAGACTTGGAATAATGGTAAATGTGTTTGTGCAGAACAACACTGACCATAGCATAGAATTCAAGAGTAATAGCTGTAATAATGTGTATTTAATATGGTCCAGTCATTGGGGTATTCCGCAAAAGGAGGAAGAAGGTTTATGCAAGACAGCAGGAGAAATTCAAGACAGCTAGCAATGCAAGAAAAGCATTACAACACAGGAGTGTCAATGCAGTTAGAGCAGCGTAAAAACATGAGGCACTGTACAGTTCACAGTAAGGGATGGAAAAAAAGCTGCAGCAGGAACAGAGCTACAGGAATGGTTTTGGAAGTATCACTTATTTTATTAGAATAGTCCCTGTTTATTCTGCAAATATTATATTTGCCTCCTTTAACACATTCTTTCGCCCCTCCACAAAAATTAAACATATAAAATTTTTACCACAGTTATGTAGCTATCATTTGTACGAGTCTGGCACTTAAATTAGTCTTACCTATACAGCGTCCATTTTCATTGGCAGTAAATCCATTTCCGCACTGCAAACAGGAAGCACATTTTATTACCAAGGCATGCCTAACTTCGAACTGATCTGACAAGGAGTTCAAGACATTAGCATTCGAGTCATGCTAAAGACAGACATCAGCAAAAACAAATTTGGGCAGTTTTGTTATGATGTTAAAAAAATAGTATCATTAGAGAGCATAGTGTTGGAATATTGTTGAGACTGCATTTTGTGCATCTTAATATATAAATGGTTTGCATACCTCCACCTCTGTGGGCTGTGTTCCTTCCACTTCATCCTGTGGATAAGGGATCTCCAAAACAGATTTCATGTCACTGGTCTGTAGGGGGCGTGCAATTGAGCGACCATCTGGCCAATATACCTCCACACTGGTCACCACGTCCTTTCCTGTGGACCAATCAGAGAGCATTGTGATGAAATGGCCAGGAACTGACAGTGTCCATTGGGATATACCAAATTCATTCATTTCTTTGTACAAGAGCTTGTGGGGGTCTTGAAGAGAATCTGCACTTATGGATGGAACCATTTTCACAAAGAATCCCTTTGATATATGAGAATTAATTTATCATCTGTCTTTTAATGCAGCTTTAACATGCTGTCACTGCTTGCATTGTACAAAATTCCAGCAAGAGAGCTCAAGACAAAGCTTTTAGCAGATATACTGTAGCATTATTTTTTGTTTTTAGTTTTAGGATAACACCTAAAGTGATCCCACCATGATAACAAAATCAAAATTATTGTGATTTTTGTGTCATTTGCTTTTTGTATCAGAGTTCAGAATGCCTGAGAAATTGGAGGTTCAGTTCCACATTTTTCCACAGTCAGACACACAGTTAGATTGTAGAATGCAATATTCCCCCATGCCTTCTGAACTTTAGAGTTCTGTGTGGTTAAAGGCATATCCCACTTCCACCTCACACAAAGTAGCGTATTAACATTAAAATAGCTGGTTCCATTGCAACTCATTGTTCTAAGGGATTTGCTCTCCCAGGAAAATTGAAGGAGCTTCTCAATCAGTAAATTGGACAGTGCAGGTGTCAGAGGTATGTGGCTAAACCAGGTGGGCTAAATTTATAAGAATATAAAGAAAGGTCTTGATGGCTGAAAGTGTTTTTTTTATATTTTGCATTAGAACCACTTAGAAGACCAAGTTAAATTTATGGTCCCATCTATTCCGAAGGATTGCTGTGTGCTCATCTGGTGAGAACACTTGAACAGTTGTCTCAAATCAAGTTAGTGAAATGTTCAGAAAAACATTTAAGAAGATGAGAAAAAGTGCATGAGCCTGAGAAGCAAACTAAGTGGGCCCTGTGGCCGCTTCCATCACTCCATCTGATGGACCTCAAACATGTTGTAAATGTCATCTCAGTACCATTTCAATGACCTGGCAGACACGCAGACAGACAGGCTGCAGACAGACCGGTACAGGACTGAGTCTGACCCCAATTCCTGGCAAGTGACTTTAAAAAAAAACCAAGAAGGTCTAAAAAAAAGAAGCTAACTCTATAGAGACATGTGAGAACAGAGGGACAATACTGCCTAGAGCAGCTCGTCTTTCCTTGAGGGACTCATTTTTATCAAGCGTGAAAACCCTTTGAAGAGTCTACTTGTTCTTAATTAAATTGACCTTTCCAAGATAAACACATCCTGGTGTATCTGAAGAGACAGATTGAGGTAGTTGCCAGTTCAGGCACTTGACTTTGAACCCAGTACTTCAGAGTCCACTCCGTAAGAGAGTTGGTACGATGAGAAAAAGATCACTTTTAAGATTCAGAAAATGTCAGAGGAGTGGTGAGAGTAGTGCTGTTGCTTATGTTTCTCCTGCAGAGGATAATGTACCGAGGAGTATGGAGTGTCATGTTATAGTCCTTGAGAAGATGCTACTAATAAAGCCTGTGGTTTCCACAAGGTACATTACACAAGTATAACGTGACAGAGAGCTCCAAAGCACAGTGACAAAACTAGGCAGCAAATAATAGTGTGAGAGGCATTTAAAGGTGATTCATGTTACAGGTTATGAAAAGCTAGGCTGCCCCCACCAATAAACACAGTGATCTGTTTTGCAGGCACTGAGGGAAAACAGTTTGTTCTTCACAGTAAATTAGGAGCAATCATAATTCCACTTACTGCGCTGCAAACATGCACAGCCACACTGCCTGGACAATACGGCTTCACTCTGGAAGCCATCAGTGGCAGCACTGGGGTGGAAACCTCTAGCCTCCCAGAGGCCACGCACTGCTGAAGGCACAAGCTGCTGCACCTGTGCTTAAAGCTCCAGTGTTCTGTGTTTGTGTTCAGTTTCCCTGGCCCATTAATCAACAGGGACTTCAAGACAATACTTTCCACATGTGGATTTCCCTAAAACTCCAGGCTGTTTTGCAGGGTTATCACTGTCCTGGATTTGGAGCCTAATTTAGAATAGGCCTAGCATGTGCAATTTCCCCAACTGCACTAGACAGCTTCTCGTATTCCCTCTCCTTTTTTGAATCACAGTGACACAATATGTTTGCACATATGGCACAGTGCACATATATTGTTAACATGCTAACATAGTATTAGCATGTGAATGCATAACTACAAGAGGTTTTCCAAAAGAAACTCAGACTAACTTTTTTTATACAAAAAGAGTACAATTTTCAGGGTTTCATCTGAAACTTCTAATAGTAAACAAGCCAAATCACTCTTCTGATAACCCTTGTGATGATCGTTTTTGAATACTGTGAGACATGAAGAATGTGATTCCATTCAGACACGCAGCAGTAACACTGAGACATACTGTAGCCTCATCAATGTGAAGGCACGCTGGAAAGTGAAACTGGAAAACTGTGCAAGGAAGCCAGCACAGACAGTATAGCTTTTATAAAGTGTCCTTGCAGTTGTATACTCCACACCACTTTTCATTTTTCTATGATTTGCTTGTTGCGTTTTAATCTGCAAGGCGTTTGCTCCTTCCCCAGAACCATCTGTTCTCTATTTCGCCTCATCCTGTGTGTCCATGTCCCGTGCTTACACGGGACACTTTTTTTGGGGGGTGGATGTACAGTATGTATGCGTGTGAGCTGTAGAATCAGCTGGGGCTGAAGCACTATTAAGATCACTTGTGTTGTTCCAAGTTACCAAGGTAACATCAGCATTAATCATGCAAAGTGCTGTCATTAGAACTTAAGCCCCAAACAATAATCAAAAAGAGTGGTAAGAGCATTCCCCATTACAACTGAGGCAGGAAAAGCCCCTTCCATTCTCTGATCGAATTCCAGTTCCCAGAGTATTCTGTTCCTTGGTGTGGAGGGAGAGCTCCAGAGAGGAGCTACAGTACCTAGTCCGAAGTGAGCAACAGGCTCCATCTCACACAGATACCCCGAGCCCCCGTCGATGATGCGTGTGTGGGGGCCGCCCCTCTTGGTGTACGCCACCACCTTGGCTCCACGGGCGAAGGCGCCGAAACGGGTGCGAGGTATCACACGCAGCCAGTTATTGGCTGAGCCCTGCGAAGGGAAACAGAGAAAGGAAAAGGAGCAGATTCTATTAATGACGTTTCCTGAATCGGATAGTTTTCACATGTTATCCAATTTACTGTCATGGGTCAAAAGGACAGGAGGCTTGAATTATTGGTATTGACAACAGTCTGGTTTCTGAATCCAGGGATCTGAAATGTTTGCCTTGATGTCAGGCCATTACCGGATTGACTTTGAAGACAGAGAGGGGCTGGGCCGCACTCTCTCCGTGGGAAATCAGCAGATCCAGCCGCCCATCCCCGTCAAAATCTGTCACCGTTGCCCCTGTAGCATATTCAGGATAGACAACTTCCTTTAAAACAGATTGACAGGACTGTTGATTCCAAAAGTTACAATACTCTCCACTGAGCATTCAAGCACACATCTGTATCAACACACATCTGGAAGTAAAGGACAAACTGGTCATGACATCACACACGTATTCTACATGTACACCCCCCACTCCTCCACTACCCTACTCCCCAATCCACTCCCCTGTCCACTCCCCAGACCACCCCCCAGTCCAATCCCCAGTCCACCCCCCATTTCACTCCCCAGGCCACCCCCCAGTCCCCAGTCCACTCCCTGGACCACCCCCCAGTCCACTCCCCAGTCCATTCCCCAGTCCACTCCCCAGTCCACCCCCCAGGCAACTCCCCAGGCCATTCCCCAGTCCATTCCCCAGTCCACCCCCCAGACCGAGGTGCAGCCGAAGTGTTGAGAATAAAGGTACAGTTCATTTGTCTTGAATCCCTTGTTACTATTTGTTGCATTCTGATTGGTAATGTGAATAGACAAGTGACCAGATACACCTGAGGGAGGAAAAATTCTAGTAGTCATTCCAGTACTACTTATTTGATCATCTACTGCTTTTAACTTCTGGCTCTAGGAATCCGAATCCAGCGCCCACGCCTCGATTAGAGCAACAAGCAAAGTGTACAGTCCCTTCACTCGCATGTAGAAAGGTGGCGTGATCACGGAGCTGGAATGACAGCTTGATCTCAAACACGTGCACAAGCAAGTTTGCTCTGGAGTTAATTTTGTAACACGTACAGTACACCGCCAGATGTGGATCTCTAATACCACCTTGTGGGAGAGATGGGAATGACTGGGGATGTGTCAAAGCACAGATACACAGCTGCTGCTGTCCAATTCAAAATCATTTAAAGAAGTTAACTGGTATTTTTATAGCTGTTTTTTACCTTCCTTTCTTGTCAGACTTGTTTTTATCTTTATGTAGCTGTTTTATTTTATGTTTGCATTGAAAACTGAAAACAAGAAAAACAGACTTTTACAGTATGGGTTGCCATAGGCTTTCCTTCTGTCCCGAATGAATTCATACATTTTGTTCATGCCAAGTTCTTTTTTGTTCATAGTTAATTTTCCAAACAGCAAGCAATTCTCCTCTAAATTACAAATGACTAACATCTGCAAGCCATCCTAGTGAAGTCTCAAAAGTTCCATCTACATGAAATTCCAACAATTTACTTTTTTTAAGGTAATATTTATATATTATATTATCTTAAAAAATATAAAATATAAAAATATGGATATTTTTAAGATTACTTTCGAGATTTGGATGAAATAACCTCAACATGCTTGAATATTGTAATGTATTTGTGGCCTATAAATGGTAGTGTAGTGTTTTGTTTTGATACTCACCTGTCCCACGTCCATCTGGCTCAGCTGCTTCCCCTACATTGAGCTCCTCAATCAGGGGGTCTGCGTGCTCCCTTCGAGACACCCTGAGAGGAAATAGGGGCGTTAGTGTGATGCAATGTGCTTTTACTGGGCAGCCTTCTGCCTGCTGTATTGCTGTACCTTTGTATATTTAAATTAATGTGATCTTTGGGATTCTCTCTCATTCTCACCTTTCTGCAAATAGCATTTATAACTGCTCAAGGATTCTAGGCACGTCAGGCTTGAAACCTGCACATTTGTCCCTTGGCCTCAGACCTTTCTTATTCTCTGTGATCTAAATAGCCAGAGTTTCATTGTAATGCCTGGTATTCATTACAATGCCAGAAACCCTTTGCTGTAAATCAATGGGATTTTCAGTATATCACTAATATGCTGTGAAAACAGTAGTTTTCAGTATTTATAAAACAGAAGCAATGCAGGCCCTGACCCTCTTTCAAGTAAATTTGCATTCACATTGCTGAGCAGAAACCGCTGGAAAGTTGGCAGGCATTTTGAATGGAGATCAGAGGGCATTGTCTCAGTTGCAGTGCATCGTGCAGGATTTATAGGTTCTTGAATACAATGGGGGAGTGCAATCGCAGGGATTTTTAAACAGCATGTGGATGCTGTATTTTTTCCATCAGAGTCAGGCTGGCCTGCGGCAGTGTTTTCAACCATTGAGTTTTGGCTCAATAAACTGTGGCCTGGCTGAAAATCTCCCTGGCTGGAGATCCTGTCTGGATCTCCCAAAAACCTTTAGAAATAGTCACTCAATTTCCAAAGAGATTAACTGAAATGCAAACCATTTCCTGCTTCTTGATGTCTTCAGTTATGAACTGTTGTTAGAGACAGTTTATTGTACTATATAAGCGCTCATATTGTACCTTTTGTTTTAATTTCAGACTGAGGGGGAAAGATTGCCGTGTTCTTCATAGAACTAATTGCCATGGAACAAGCTTCAGCAGACCTCACAGTACGCCAGGTGGTCAGAGTTGTGTATCACAGCAGTAAAGAGCTGTCAGCCCCACTGGCCCGGCTCCTGGTGCTTGTTCAGAATGGTCTCACTCCAGAATCCAATTAGTCAAAAACGTGAAGCAGTGCCCATTGAGGATATTATCTGGCAGGCCTGGCCTCTCATGATTCAAGCCCCAGTCAGCCTCCTCCCACTAGCCCAGTCCACCTGCTTACCAACCTGAGATGACTGCACTTCCCTGCACTTCCATTCCCTCCTGAGGTGCTCCCGCAGGTAATCTTTACATAAGGTGCACATGATTTATAATGCAATTCGCTTTTTGCATTGCTTTTGCTGTTCCAGTGGTGCATGGGGCAGAGCGCCAGGCTGCCTTGGAGTGGGGTGACAGCAACCAGGAGGACACCAGTTTCTGCTCTGTGTCTGACAGTAAGACAAACGAGCTGGTAGCAAAGGATTTGAACCTCACATTCAAATGAGTTCTTTTTGGTTTGATCTGTGCTAGATGACAGGGAGCAGTAAAGAAAGGAGTGAGCTGCGATGCTGACCTGAAGACTCTGTTGGCAGAGGGCCCCCGGTAAGCAATATTGTTGAAGAAGACCTCCAGCTCCCCGTCGTTGTCGAAATCTGCAGCAATAACAGTGCGAACAGGAGAGGGCATGGCGAACTTCTGAGTGGCAATGTCCTGAAAGAGACAGACAGGACATCTTGAACAAGCCTGCATTTAAAGCTTACCAATACAGAATACAAAAAAGGGATTTTAACTGGGCAGTTTGAGAAGCCAAAACATTAACTTTAATCATTTTTGTCCCGGTCATGTCTAGTAGCCAACACTTATATTTTCTTCGAGGCTAAATGTGAATTTTCCTGTGATTCTCTTCAGATTTTTAAAGTGGGAGTTTAATTGAAGTATTCCATTTCAGACTCTATAATTAAAAAAATCAGATAAAAAACAAGTAAATCAGTTTTATTTTTTAATTTAAAAAAAAAGTTATTTAGGAGTGAATATGTGCACATGAGTCATACCCGTACACGTACTGTACAGAGTCCAGAGCTGTGGGGAGGAAGATCAAGTGTGCAATCTGTCGCAGAGGCTTGGGACATGGATGGCTTACTCAGGCTTTCTCACTGTGGTCAGATGGGAAATAACTCATATGTGAATGTAACCAATATTTATGTGTTCCAGGACTGCTGCAATACTTTGAAAAAATATTACGGGTGGGTTTTCAACACCTCAGTATTTGCACCAAGTATTAATTACAAGCCTCATAAAACCTGCTCCCATATTGTGAGCGGGTGACCTTGCTCAGTCTGTGGGGGTGTCAGGAGCCACACTAGGACAGGGGCAGCATTCCGTGGGAATTACCCTTATTACCCCTAAAACCTGACTTGACTGCAAATGTTTGCAAAGGATTTCAGGCAAATATGTAATTGTTCAATAATAGTTGTCTAATGCTTATGGCTGTCATTTTGTATAGGTCTGTAAAATCAGTTTTATGGCCAATGTTTGTTATTTTGCTAAGCAATTATTCAGCTTTTTTAGGATTTTATACATAAGCCACCCCTAGTCCAATCTAGAGAGTGACAGACTCTTTTGATTTTGGAAAGAAATTCCAAAAGATCAGAGTTCCCTCAGTCAAACCTCAGTCAAAATAGTACAATAGATTGTGGCATGCAGAAAATTGTCTTTGCTAAAAATGCAAACACATTAATATAACTCAGAAAGATTCAAAAATAGTCCTTATGAATGAAAACGTGATAATTCCGTTCCATTGAAGCGATATCCACAGATCTTCATCCTGCAAAATGTTTTTTTTTCTGTTTTTTAGATTCATTATCCAGAAAAGTCTTAATGAGAAGAGATAGCTGGGAAAGATTTAGTTTGGCCCACTACAGTGGCGGAGGAGTGAAATATACAGGCATATAGTACACATTTTGACAAGCGCAGGAAGGGAGGGAGGATGGCCAATTGCTTTAGATTAAAAAAATATACAGCCTCAAAGGGCACATTATGCTGTCTCTACAACCTGCTTGCTCAGCCCTTGGAGCCATGATTTAATTAGCTATTTACCGGAGTGACATTATGGTTTATTTTGAGTAGTATCCACAGAATGCATCTGCTTTTTGCTAAAAAGCTCTGAACCTTCCTGTGCAACTTCCTAATAACTTTATCAGTCATAAAATTAGCTACAACTAAAACACACATCACTAACCCCAGACCCTGGGAGAGACCTGATATTGGAGCTTTAGTAACCAAAGACAAACTAAAGCTTCTGAACAAAAGTTTTGTGGTGATTTTCGATGAAATATTCACAAAACCAGTTGCCTCATCCTCTGACAGTCAGCATACACATATGCAAAAGTGTTCACAAGCTATCTTAATTAGGCACAAGAAGCAAAATATTAAACAGGTCATCACAAAGACAGATATAATTAGAGGTTAATTAAACATGAAGATACAATATCAACTAGTGTATCAAGAGCAATTGAACAAAAATATGTAGTGATGAATAAACAATGAATAACTTCTGCCTCCTACAACAAGCTGCACTCCAATCTGTATTCCACAGTGAAAAGGCATGTTTTGTGATAGAAACGACTAAGGACACATTCATAAGCTATCCTTGTACCAGTAAATACACTGGAATATCCCCCAGTCCATTTGCTTTGACAGTCTCTACTTCGGTAGTATAAGTGTCTGCCATGTGGTTATTTCAAATCAGCCCAGTTCCTGCAGCAGCTAGCAGTGTGTAAGGAGTAGTGGCAGAGCCTAATTGAAAGCAGTCTATACATCTTCAAGGAAGTCAGGCCTCATATGGTCCAGCACTCTTACTGTCAGCACATTCCCACCCAGCTGTAATTACTGTTTACTGGGCTTCCAAGGCAAAGTAAATGAGAGGAGAAAAGAGGGAGACCTTGGGCTCCTCTCCCCCTCGCTCATACACACAGTCCTTTTCTCTCTCTCCTCAATACACATTGTCCAAGTCCAGGGGGGTGTAGAGAGTGATGTACAGTGGCTCAGATCATTCACTGTCCTAAAGCTATTAAGTTTCAAGGTGAATTCAGAGATAAAAACACACCGTTTTAAACAAAGCTTAAGGAAGACCAACAGAAATAAACATGGGCAAATCGAAAATGACATACTGTAGAAAAAATTTCTGCTTTCTCCAAATTTCGAACCCCCGACTCAATAAATGTCGAAGCTGGGGGTGTGTTGAAGCCTCCTTCATCAAGCCCATAGGCAGACACACAGGTCCCTGCCCCCTACCTTGAATCTCTGCTTGCGATTGGCACTGGTCTGCAGGAAGAGACGGTGCGGCCCATTCCAGTTGCCATACACGATGTCTGTCTTTCCGTCCCGGTTGAAGTCAGCCAAAGCCACCCCCCGGCCGTGCTGTAAGTGGTCCTCAAGCCCTGTCCCAAAATCAAGACACCCCTTCATACACAGCTTTCATCTTGTTGGCACAAAACAACAACACTGATGTTTCTGTGTCCTAAAAAAAAACATTTACTGTATGTCAGAAAAAGTGCTAGCTTCTTTGCTTTGGACATTGTGTTTTGCTTTAGTGTATTTTTTGTCTCAAGATGTTTGTCTCAAGTGGACAAGCCAGAGTTTAAATATCGTATTGTAGCAAAGTGATGTAGAGGCCCACAAGAAAGCTGTCTCCACACTGACTGTTTTTAGAGCTTCAGCAGTACTGAAGCAGTAAATCAGTTCTCATTTGATTTATCAGTACTGATAAGTCAAATGAGAACAATCGTCATTTACAATAAGGTGGGGGGTACCCACTCACCTCACACACTGAGGGGGATAAAAAATGAGGTTTTATTTTTCCATGACCCTGGGAATGTCCCATCTTACCATACAGTACCTCCTGCTCTCCACACATACTGTAAGTGCAGACATACCCCCTCTCCTTTGTATTCAAGGCAGGCATGGAGGTTTCTTCTAAAAAGCTCAGATAACTACTGTGTTTCTGAAACTGAACCCAAATGTACTAACATAAATTCAGCCATAGCTCATTACACCAGAATTTCTTGTGCCAATGATTTCAGTCAACTCTTCCTATGCAGTGTATCAGATACCCCTTTTCCCTGCTCTCCCGTGCGTGTTCTGCCAGGGAGAGAGCTGCACCTCACAGCTCCTTCATCTTTACCCCATGCCCCTTCGAACCAGCTGGACCTGGAACAGGTTTGTGCAGCACAGTCACACCACCACAACTGAGATTGCCTTTTCAGTACTTTTCATGAAGAAAACAAACCGCAATTTACCATTCTCTCCCGGTGAGAACATACAAAATGAAGCCCACAAACTTTATGCTTCTAAAATTGATCAACCTGAATCAATGTGACAAATAAAAAAAATATATATCTTTCTGTTTTTTACGTTTCTCATGTAATGTAGTATAATCCGACTCAGAACAATCCACACAATGAAAGTAGAGTGAGGAGAGGAGAGCTGTGACCGTCTCTACCTTCTCCCTTCTCTCTCTCACTTACCTGCCTGTGCTGCTATATCGGTGAAGGTGCCATCTCCATTGTTCCTGAACAGGAAGTTGGACCCGTACTCATTGTCACAAAAGATGTCTGACAGGGTCTGACTGACAATCGGTCCCACCACTACACCACGCCCCCCTGTGCATTGAGACAAGAAGCGACAGTTCTCAAATTATTTTTGATTCTTTCCAAGCCATTTACCAAATGGCAAGAGCATATTGCTGTCACGTATGATTCAGTTCCATCAAGAGAATCTTTCCACCTGCATCCATTCCACCTCACAGCCCCATTATCATTTAAACTTGAAAGACACTTGAAAAAGGTGCAGTGAGGTTTGACTTTGCTGAAGTACAATTATACAGAATCTATATTTGACAGTAAGAGCATATGGTGGGATTCACAGTGAGATCGACTATATTTAGCTCATATATTAGATAAAGATACAAATACTGTATAAGGTTTTCAATGGATAGACTGAACACCAAAGAAGAAGGCATACACTGATTCAGAGCTCTAGGTATTGTAGCAAGCATTGAAAAACATTCTCTGATCATTTTTGCATTTATTTGGGGGAGTCCCAAAAAGCTCAGGCCAATACGAGAGCAAAACAGGAATGTATAGTATCTGCTAAAATCTTTCCATATCATGCTCTTTTTTCAACAGACAATAGAATTAATCATTGTTGACCTAAATAATATTTGTGTTAAGGTTTCATAACTCTTACTGTTAATTTACAAAAATGAATTTTGTGTTGCAGTTACAAGTTAATAGTTAAGCATTTTAATTAATTCCAGAAGGGATTCGATATATCTGCCAAGGTGAAAGCTGAATATCCAGCCTTTTCCCTCATTTGTGACCACTGGTCTCAATCACTCCTATACAATTTTGCATTTGCTGGTCAAGTACAATTGAGCCCCAGGACATCCCAGTATCTAACAATAAAACACATCAGAAGAGTTTCCGACTTCTTCAGTCTAATCCAAATAAAATGGTCCCTTTCCTTTGCAGTGCTGGATACTTTACAGCACTGTCCTCCCAGGCCCATCTGCAACCAGCAGACCCCACACACTCTCATTGTGTCGCTAGTGAATGAAGAAGTCAGCCCCTGCCTTGGAATTCTGCCTTGCCTATACAACTTGCTGATTAATTGACTCTTTGCCCCATTGAGCAAGTCAGGGCTGAAATATAGCTTCATCGTCCTTGTGCTGCTCTATGACTTTCAGTGCCGCAAACAGCTGACTGAGCCAAAAGCACACTCACTGCTGCTTTGACGGCTATACCCCTCAAGTAACAACTCTACAGTGAGAATACAGTGGCAGGAGACCCTTGTGTCTGTGGGGTAGTTTGGAGTGTTTACTGTAGCAGGGCACACCTTTTGCCACAGCCCAGACAAGCGATAAAAATGTACTCTATTAACAGGCGGGCTGCTTTGCTTTGCATCTTTGAGAGTCCTAAAGAGTGGCATTGCTGAAGCTATTTCATCTTATATGAGACCTGCTACACACACTTTTACCCCTCTAATCTCCCTGACTTATCATGATAGCACTGTAGTGTGTTCCAACAACACAATTAAACAGCCAACCCTGCACATCCAAGGGCACAGCCAATCCAAGGTCAAGGTTTACACCAAAAGGGCACTGAGGAGCAGTTCTATCTTGCAGCAAGAAATCTCCTACAGAAGCACTATGGTACACACATTTACCGAACTTGGCTATTGGACTAGTCTTTATGTACAGTACTTGTAAATCAAAGCACAAGCAGGACATTCTATAAAAATGACATAAATTACCCTGACCAAAATCTGACAAAATAATCCTCATACTGTATATTTTGTGATTTTAATATAAGGAGTCTCCACAAGCAATTTTACATTACCACTTTAAAATAGTCCAATTCCATTACATTGTACAAAATATACTCAATAATCATGGTAAAGCTTTCTTTTTGATCAGAGCTTTTACAGTACATTATCATGCAGCTATGTAAAATTCAGATCCATACTATTTGCTCAAACTTTGATTCCAATATACAGTGTTTCATAGGAGTTTTTGATCTCACACATCTGACCTGTGAATTTGTTGACTCCAGCCTGGCTGGCTACATTGGACAGGGCGATGATCCCTTTGGACACATCGCTGGCAGCCTCATCCATCTCAATGAGGGCGTGAGGACCCACATTGCCGCTGGCATAGTTAGCAATGTAGATGGAGTATCGTCCAGTCCCCTAGGAGAGGACAGAGGAGAGCCCAGCTGAACATCTTGGCTGCAAGAAGGACAAGGACACTTTCACATTGTGTTTGGTTTTATTTTTGTTTGTTAGTTTGTTTGTTTTAATCCCTTTAATGTTTGAACATTTGTACTGTTCAGATTCATGGCTAATGAGCTAGTGAATGCTAGTGAAGGCAGATGAGTGACCTGGAACTTCTGCAGTTGGCTTGCTTCCACCCGACAAACTAAATCAGCAGATGAATCCAATGCAATGATCCCAGAGCACCCTTCAAAGAGATTTCCCGTTCCGTTCCAGCCTTCTCTGCATCATGGAACACTGAGTCGATTTCACTTCACTTCCCAGTCAATGCTACATTCCCTGTGGATCCCAGGCCACCATTAGCAGTCCCCAGACAAGCAGCACTGCAAAAATATGTACGACCAAAATGCTCACCTCACACAACAGGTAAAGAGATGCTTCTTAGGTATGCAGGGGACTGTGTCAATAAGAGGTTTGGTAGCATTGTTGTTTAGCACAGCTACTGTTCTTTCAGCCCTTATACATACAGTACTGTATGTAAAAGAATATTTCAATAAAGAATCTCGGCACATACAGTAGCTGCATGCTAAAGGTTACCCAACTCCCATTCCCCCTTTTACACATTAATTTCACACCCCATTATCAGGAAGGAATCCCTGTGGACATGAACAACTATAGTCAACAACATTAACTGTTAAGGAGCAGCTTGCAATTCCGCCACTTCTCTGTAGCTACTGTATGTTTTGAAGGGACATAAATCTCATACTAATATGACTTCAAATGTATTCGTATTTAAAAACTGCCAAATCAGTCCAGTATGGAAACATACTATGGCAAAAGAATCTGTCTAGTACAGAAAGGTATGTTGGGGCCTGAGGAGTGTGTTACCTCATCATGAAAACACACTGTGAATAGCAGAAGAGCTTTACCCATCAATCTGTCCGTGTTCTATGACAGAGTGTGGGTTTCCATTAGTTGTAAACTAAGCCTGAGGCACACTGATGGTATTTGCATACACTGCCATTCACAGTAGCATCACTCTGAAACAACACAATTCCTGTTTGTGCTGACTGAAACAAATCAACTATCAAAGATATATGACATGGAAAGCTAAAATAATGTAAGATAAATGAACACTGTGCAATAAAGAATGTATTTACCCCCAATCCCACTTCTGCCATCCAAATGTTTTTTGTAGAGCCGATATTAGTGAGAAACATGACAGAATTGCCATTGACAACATCTGCGGGTGACATGAGGTGATGTACTGTAGGTAGATCAAAGGGTGAAAGTGTTTGTGTGAGACTTTAAAGTACTGCTGCTTTCAGAAAGGTAGGGAAAGAATGGCTAATTTATAGAAACTCTCTGATTAATCAGAGAGCCATTAAATAAGACCCACACCTCACATGATTCTTATACAAGCCCTGTTTTGGTTACAAAGCAGGTGATAATGAATGCTGCTATCCATTCTGTGCTGTGTAGAGGGATTATATCAATGTATATTTCTTATTTAAAACATAATATAATCTTCTGTGTTTAATGAAGTGTTCAGAAGAAGAGGATTTTAGTCACTTTATGTAATGGTACTGAATTTTCAAGACTCTGCAAAAACTATTTTAATAAACAATAAATCCAGTGTCATATAAACCACCGATGCTAACAAGATATTCTTTCACTTGATGAATGTTTTAATTTTGAAGTTAAAACCAAATCGATAGGAATGAAGCACATTTTTCATTCTTTTATTTCTGTGTTTTTTGTGACATGAAAAACATTCCAAAATTATCTAGCAGATCAGAAATTTTTATTTTTGTTTTCCTTAATTAAAGGCTTTACTTTTTTACATAGTGTACCAGAAAAATTTAGTCCCTTTGCTTATTTTTGCAGTACCGTTCTTAATTAACTCTCACTGACTTACATTACTGTTTAAAGGAATAGAAAAGGTCTTGGAAGGTGGTCAAATGGTCAATGATTTAATCACCAGCTGTCTACCATTATGAGGCCTTCAAATTGCAGGTAATTAGCATGGAGTAGCAGGGTTATGAAGTCAGAAATCACACACCTGATAAATAACAAGTCACTTCTGCCCAATTCCTGAAAGAAATCGCACTGAACAGGTTATTGCTTATAAGGGATGAATGCATTAGTCCACAGAAAATCATTTTTTGTCTCTGAATTAATTCTCTTTCTTGTTCATCCTAGATTTGTAACTATTACTTTTAATTCTTATTATTAAGCTTTGTTCCATCTAGATGAAACAAAGTATCTAGGAAAGTATCAACTGGCAGTTTAGGCTCAGTAGTTTCTAAATGAGTGTGTTAAAATCTTTTCTTCCTAATGGCTGTTTCCTGTCAACAAGCCGATACAAACAGTCACTGCCTCGGATGAAGGAGTTGATTGCATCTTTATATTTTGTCTCACAAATTGCGCAACAGAATTTCAATTTTTTTCTCTATGTATAAATGGCCTGTGGTGCTTTTTCAAAATCCAGTGGCGCAGCTAATTTAATTATTTACAAAGATCAGGAAAACTGCTTGATTTTTATTACGCACTGTGGGTCATTTCAGCATTGCACAGAATAGTTGTAGTCTTTTTTAACCCAAGGTACTTTACCAGCTCCTACTTCCTTCACAGCCTTTGGCATGTGTATCAAGGAATTTTCTCTCAGTGGTTTGTGCTGTAATGTGTTAGAGAAGCTTTAAGCAGAAGAGGCAGAGAACCTCTTGAGACCCATAAATCAACTATGTCTTCTCTCAGATCAAACTGTTCACACCTCTTCCTCCTGTCTTCTCTTGTGCTATTGCTGAAAAGGTAAATACACTTCCAGTAACAAAATATGGAGCCTCATAGAGAAAAAATAAACCAGCTGTTGTTTTTAGGGAGTTTAGCACTATGGATAGCTCCCTGCGTAAAACAAAATGTGTGATGTCTACTGCTTTTTAAAACTTTTCCTTTAAGACACCATCTTAATCTAGACAAGTGCTGTTAGTCAGCCAGAAAGCAGGATTTATTCCTCTCACTTCATGGCTTTGTGATGGATCTTTGATAGCTTCAGCAACAAAGAGGCACAGTCACAGAACGACAGCTAATGTCTCCAGCAGATTATTCTAGCTATAGTCCTTCAAAATGGTCTAAGTGAACCCTGTTAATATTTCCGATCCAAACATGTTTACTCAGGGTGTTATCAAATAATAATTTTGTATTTTGTATAGTATACATTCTAACTACATTGATTCAACAAAAATAACAGTATATTGTGTAACTTTGATTCATGAAGATGAAAGCTAACAAAAGCTTAATTCAGGTGATGGGCAAGAAAATCAAACGAGCCATGTTCGTTCACCTCAACAATATGAGGTTTTTCTGCTTGGGAGAAAGCTTTCTCCCATTTCTCCCAGATGTTAATTCATCTGTGAAGACTTCGGACTAAATAACCACAGTGAGCAATTTAATTAAAGGCTCAAGGGAGAATTGAGTGTTTACGGTCAGAAAACAGTGTGGGGTTTTCTGTAGCTCAATATTGCCTGTACCCACATACAGTATGGTATGGAAAGAACAAACACTCAGCAGCATTTGGAGGTGTCTAGACCCAAACCTCCCAGAATGGCCCTGAATGGCATTGTTTCAGAATGGATTGAAGTCTTGTGAGAAGCAGTCGACAGTAATGGGTGTACAAAATTATTGATGACCCACTTCACTTATTGCAGTTACAACAAAAGCCAGTGAAATGAAACACAATGTTTAGATTGATGGGGAAACTACTGTTTGCTACTACTGTATGCTCTTAGCCTCTCAAGCACAGATTCAAGCAAATTAGTCAAATAGTCAGTATGATACTTCATACTTACTGTACTTGTTGACAGTTCTTATTGTGTTTCACTGTGTAATATGAGCAATGCGTAATCTGAGCAATGTTAAATGCTAATCTGTGTGCAGGGCTCAGTGCAGCTCCATACAGTATCTTCCCATGAATCTGCACCCTTCCTAGGTTATGCCCAGTGGGAGAAATTGAAGAACCCAGCAGTGCTGGATGATCCATGTGAGAAATGGGACAGATCATGCAAGCAACTTTCTTACATTGGGCTAGAATTCAAAACTAAATCCCATGGCTTTTTAAAAAGTAGTGTCAGGGTGAAACTAAACATAGGTCCTAGATGCATTTGTTCAGCTCTAGCAAATGTCAGACTAAACAAATGAATGTTTTTGTCATTTTTCTTGGTGTTTTTGTAAATTTACTCTTGGCAACAAACACAATCCTTATTTTTTTCATATATTAAATTTTAAACCCAGGTACGAGGTAGCACATTAGGAAAATGTAAGGATAATTTTGAGATTTTAGGGCATATTTTCTTTAGTAAATGAATTAATAATAAAGACTAGCCTAAGAAATTAGCTGCTAAAACTTATATTATTATGAATTCTAGTTTGTTTAGTATCAGCAGATGTAACAAAGTTATATAGCTATAAAAATCTTTCAAATAACCGTCTATCCCTGATGGATGTGCAATTTATTTCTTTCAGTAGCTTATGTGCGTATGAAATATCCTTTTGAAATGAAAGATGTTCTGCAGAGCAGTGCCTGTCCTACTGCACAGGACCACAGAGGAAGGGACGCTGCACATTTCTCATGTCAGTAGATGATGGCACTCCTTGAAGTCTACATGTTACGCACTATAGAGTATTATGCGCCACGGCCAATGTTTTTTAAATTGCTGGCACCGAATCATGAGCCTTAATGAGATTGTTCTCTGTAGACAAGGTTACCTGATGGCCTGATCAGCTGCACTGCCAAGTTCTTTTTACCTTCAGTGAATAGATCTTCCGGGAAGAAGGTGTTCTTACTCCCGAGCACATCTAAAATTGAATGAACTTGTGGTTGTCCTAGTTTTCAAACTGCAGTGAATCGGACAAGGTAGCATTAAAACATAAACTGTAAAAGTAAGAGTAAGAAGGAAAATACAGGCTTGATAGCAGGTGTGATCTCAACCATCTTAAAGTTAGAGACCAGAAAAGCACATCAGACCTACTGTGTATGAAGAGGGATCTTTTTCAATGCCAGCACATGTTAACACCCTCAACATCCCAGGTTCAGAGAATCCAGACTTTTCAAAGACTACAACTTTTAAACACCCTAACACATTTGGCACCAAGCATATGCTTTTTGTTCAGGGTCCTACTGAAGTGTGATTTTCGTATAGCTGATAGTGAAGGTTGATGACATTTTAATAGCTGTGAATGATGAAAGAAAAGGAAGGTAATTTGTTTTCAAGGGAAAGGTGCTAGAAAGGTTGGAATGAGTATATTTTTATCTTTGCTGTCATATGAAAATAGCTTCAATAATTATAAATTTAATTCATACTCTTTCAGGAGCCTCTCTTTCTTATATATTCCAGAAAAGCTGTGTGGGTAAAAATGTTTTAAATTGTTTTAAATCATGCCAAACAATTCAGTGATAAAAATGTCAGACTAGTATTAACACACAGAAATGATTGACACATCCAGAAGAAAAGGCATCCTAAATATCTGAATGATAACTAATTAATTCTATCAAGCGCAGTCTGCGATCTGCATTAAATGATATTTTAGAACCTAAAAACTTGCTGTAAAACTATCTGATTTTGATAAAGACAGTATACTACTGTACCTTGATACTTCACTAGAGTAAGCATGAAGAATGTGTGAAAGAGGAATACTGTAAATTCTACACAGACATAATACAGTTCCAGCTCCAACACTGTCGTAGCACTCCTGTAGCGTACTATATGGTCCATTATAGTAACAGTTTATAATCTTGCTGTAAATATTAGACCCTCTGCACAGCCAGTCACAGCTGAAGTTAGAGAACAGCATCTCTGAAAGAAGGATGAGGGTACCTTTCTGTCCAAACAGGCCACAGATCTCCCCGCCATGCGATTGGCAACATCTCTCTGGACATTGATGTCATCACTCAGGAGATCCTCAAAGCGACCATTGCGGAACTTGAAAAGCTTGTCAGAGTATGTCGCCAAACCTGAGCCAGGACAATGGAGTCTGGGTTACCCACGGAATACGAAATGAAAGAACAGTGACTTACCACACTTTTTATTGGCAAGGCTTTTGCCAGATCGCCATACAAAATTGTACAAAATTATTGATGACCTACTTCCCCTATTGCAGTAACAACAGAAGTCAGTGAAATGAAAGTCAACTTCTTTGCCTCTCGAGAGCAGATTCAAGTATATTAGTGAGACAGTCTCGATGATATTTCATACATACTTGTTGACAGTGCCTGTTTAGGTGGTGGATTGGAGAAATCCCTGAAAACCCATTAAAAAGAATAAAATAAGAAGGTGGTGAAAGGATGGGCAAATGACAGAAAAGGGTGCGCAGAAACAAGAGAAAATGGGAGCTGGAAAGCAGGAAATTGTATACAAAGAGGAAAGGAGGAAGAACGGGAATTTCTGGGGTAGCAGAGAAATTTCAGAGGCACAGACACCCACCACCTTGTGCCTCCATTTGGAATCAGCACCGAAGTCATCTGAGATCTAGCAAGAATTTCAGTGTGAATCTTCTTTGCAATAGCAGGTGGGATCTCCTTCCTCAGGAACACATGCTCATGCCTCTCTCCTCTCTTTCATCTTCCCTTGTTCTCTGGTTCAATTCCTGCCAGTCTTGTCTTTCCTTTGCTGTGCCCCGTTCACTGTGCAGCCCTTCTGTCTGACTTCTCACCCCCCCGCCTCGGGCCCCGAAAGAGACAGGTCAGCCAAGCCCCGCCTACCTGAGAAGGCATTGTTGGTGTTGAGAAAGTAGATCTCCTCCCTGCCGTCGCCATCGATGTCGCAGGCTGTCACGCCGATGGCGTTGCCTTGCCGATCCCGCAGGGCATAGTAAGGGGAATTCCGGTCATCCACAGCGATGTTATAGAGCACCTTCTTGCTTTGGTCATACTTCAAAACCAGATTCGGGCCATTGTACCTGAGAAACACACCAGAGAACTGGATTTGAATCTGTAGCAGCTTTAGTCAAACGTTAAATCCAAGCAAGGGCACAGATTAAGAAGATTTTTACAGACTGCATGGGTGGTTTTACTTGTTTACGTGGGTTCTTTTAAGTTCATGCAATATAGATTAATCTACTACAGAGGCTGTAACTTCATACCTTGTTTAAATGGTATGGTTCTGGTTACCAAAGTAGTACGCCTGGGTTTTGTTTCAAATCCTGATTTGAAAATCTGATTTTTCTAAAAATAAAATGAACCCATTCAGTTTCAATGTGCAGCATATTTAACTTACATTCCTGCACAGCACTGTCTCGATTATTTTTCGGGGTGCTGTTGTAACGTTTCACTATCGACTATATAGCTGTAATAAAGTAAAAAAGTGCCAGCAGTTTTGAAGACTTCCAAGCAAGGTCCATTATCATTAATTACATAAGTAAAATAATGTAGCAGTGTTAGTAGCAAAGATAGAATCAATAATAATTATTTATATCTTTAACAACAAAAGCTCTCGTTATTTAAAATGGTAGGAAGTCAATTAGACAGTTTAAATTTCAATGTTAGTGTGTCATTTACCAATTGTGCCAATTACCAATTGAACAAATGACCAGTGGCAGATGACTGCACTGCTTTTAAACCATTGTATAATATACAGTGGTAGTTCTGTTTTGCTATCAATTTTGTACTTAACATGCTGCACTGTTCTTGTGCAGTTATATATTGGATAAATAGGTTTGTCTACTACTTTGGCTGATGTAGGATCCTAGTTTCTGACAATAATTAAGTGGGTTGTTTGGGAGAAAATGGAAAATCCTTACATTCACTACTCCGAATCCCGATGTACAGTACACTGAAGGTAAAGCACTCACCTGCAAACCATGTAATGTGGCCTTTATGAATGTACAATAAACTATGATTTTGAGTCTCACTGAAAACCTTACATAATTATGCTTATAAAACACTGTTTTAAAACAGGCTAGACCACTAGTCTGACTAGCTCAGGGAGGTGTTACTAATGCAAATATTTGCTGTTTTCAACATATCCTTTACCAGTACCAGGATACTTGGTGTACAGTAATTGCGCTAGTAACATTTAAAGTTTAGTTTTGGAAAAGCCTCTTCATTTATTTTGACTATACATGGTCATTCGGGCACAAAATTATATCAATATCCTTGAATAATTTTGAAGGTCTTGTACAAAGGAAATGAATGGAGTGTTCATACAACACACAGAGTGCCAGTATATTCTCAAACCTCACACACCTCAGTAAATACGTTGACAATTGTCTGTCTGAAATTGTACTACGATGCAACAAAACCTAAATAACAATTCAGTTAGTTGAAATGAGCACTCGAGCAATTATCCTGTCATGTCATTGTTTCCGATGTCAGTTGTCTGATACAGTGGTGAAGGAAAGTTCAGTGCTTTGAGTGACATGCTTGGCTGTGGTCATCTATGTGATGACAATGTCACTTCTGTGGTTGTAGCTCTTTGTTTTGGCCATGCCATGGGTGAAGCTTGCGGGGGTGAGTTTTGGCCAATGACTGTGTAAAGGCTGAAGCCCTATACTGCCCCATACCCACACCCGGCTTCAAGTCCCCCCAGGCAACGTTTCTGCTGTGGATGTGCCTGGCTGTCAAGATTGAAGGAATGCACTTTTTTAATAGCAGCAAAGACCCTGGGGGCTTTAAAAAATGCATTGATTTCTATTGGGAGTTAAGCTTTTGTCAGACGTATAAGTTCATGTCTGTATGTCCGTTACACTGGCAAATCACTGTCGCACTGGAAATCTTTTTAATTGCATGTGTCTTTGCAGAAAGCCCAGAGCTTCAATAGTTAGAGGAGAGGAGTGGCTTGGATAGGTGTCAGAACTGTCTTCCAATAGTGGTGCTTTATCTGCAGCTAGAGTGCACTGAGGCATAAGATTGGCTGTGGTTTTATCACTGGAAATTTGCAGGAGGCTTGAAGTGTTTCAGGGTTATTGAAAATGTATAAAAATAATAAAAGATTGTGGAGCACAAAAACAAAGTTAAGATAACTTTCAAGTCTACTTATTCAAGTCTACTTTTCCCCTTAAAATCACTATTATTTATATAATCTATATATATATATTATATATGTACAGAACATTGTACAATGTTTTTTTTATGTTGCTTGGTTATCAGCACCTGTTAATATCTGCATAAACAGGGCAGTCTTCCAAAGTACAGTTATAAAGGTGGTATTGATTTCACATACAGTATACTGGAGATTAAAAGGCACTCCCAGTTATTAGGAGATGTCGTTTGTCTGCTCTACTCCTGGGGTGGGTAGAAGAGCAATGGCATTGTCCCACTACTTTGTATAATGTGTAACATGTGTTGGCAGAGAAAATCAGCTGGTCAGTGGGAGTCTGGGAACTCACCCTGCCACCACCACCTCCAGGTTTCCATCCGCATCCACGTCAGTCACAGCCAGCCCATAATTCAGCTGAGTGGGGTTATTCTCATAATCCGGGGGCAACACTGTCTTCGTGACGCCAGAGAACATGGGCTCCCAGCGCTGTGCGGGAGACAGACCAGGCAGACCCAGGAGAAGAAGCCAGGGCCAAAGAGACATCTTCACCTGCTGGCACAGAAGTACTGTCACCCAGAGCACCGACACCCACTCCTCCACACCTTCAATCTCTTTCCACATACTCCCTGACAAGCGCCTGTTGGCTGTTTGCCACAGGTACAGAGCTACACTGGGAGAATGCTGGCACACAATTAATGAGCCGATCACTCTCAGTAACTTATGTGTTTGCTCTGCTACAGAGGATGTCAATGAAGACTCCAAAATTGCTGCTCCATGAGCAAAAACGTCTCTTTTTCCTCCAGATAAAAATTTTACTTCTTAAAAATAAAACCCCCTTTTTATCACTTAATACAGATCATTGTGTACTGAAGTATTCACCATCAGAGGCTTCTAGGCATCATTGTCAGGAAGCTGCTTAGGTTTCCTTACACAACTTATAGATTATTTAGCAAAGTTTGTTTAAGACTTCAGACTTTAAGACTTTCTTTCAATATTGAAGTCTTTTAAATTGCCTTGAATATAGACTAATGTCACTATTGTTTTTTTGGTTCTCCTGTGATCATTACAGTATAATTTTCATCTGTTGTTGTTCTATTGTCTGCACTTGTCTGCTTGTTTTCTGATATTATGTGGAAATGTGCAACATATTATGAAAATTCCTGATTCCCTACATTTTATTCGTATTTTGTTTTTTATGAGTATTTTAGTCATTTGTTTTTCTAAGCCTCCCAATACAAACAAGATGGGCACTACAAAGAATAAAGCTGCTTCTCATGGCAGGAAAGTCGTGAGACCTCACAACCTGGACAGATGAACACAGCAGAGATAAATATGGGTCCTGGTAAAGAGAAGAGGTACCCCTTGACATTTTAAATGTTTTGCCCCTGTCTCCTTCTTTATAAAAAGTAATTACGAATGCCTGTAAAGCAAAAACGTCTGAATGGAAACAGAACATAAATAGTAGAGCAGAAGACAGCTTTAGCAGGAGAATGAGATGGAAAGTCAGGAGGTGAAGCAATCTGCAATGTAGGAAAATAATCACAAAGACAAAAATCCATAAATGAAAAAAGACTGCTGTCATTTGATCTTAAGTACAGCCTGAAAGGGAAATTAATCTGTTTGATTTCTTCAAATGTACCCTGACTGAGAACTGAGCAGAGGCAGGATGTTGTACAGGTCAGAGACAGGAGACTCAAACTCATGGCTGAAAGCTTAGACAATACAAATACTGTATGTAGGAAAATGTTAATTTATAGAGTGGAGGGACGGGGAGAGCTGTGTTGTACAGTAAATGTGTGGTTTTAACGCCTGAGTATGGGGTTAGGAGGAAATGCAGTATGTGGTATGTGCTGAAGGATCAGAAGTCTGTGCTGCACAGTGGTCTGCAAATTAGTGAAGATGACGTATTAAACATGTTGACAGCCACTAATTGAGAATACAAGCCAATGTTTAGTGGTAAAAGCTGACTGATTAGATCACCAGCCTCAGAGGAAAGAAACAGGAGACAGTGCAGCAGAAAAGTTCAGTTATTTCAGCAAAAGGACTGAGAGGCTAAGTGATTCTTCAGAGGTGATAGATAATTATCAATGTTGGAATTAATGGCAAAGCATGATACGAGCCCGACTTGACAAGACCATGCGAGTCTACAGTCCACAGGATGTGTGGCTCATTCATAGCCGTGACACAAGAGAAGCTCTGAAAATTCAGTTCAAGATTTTGTGTATAATGAAAACGCACACAAAACTTACACTCAAAAGTAAATGCTAGTCTAACTCATTCAGCTACATCTGTGCAATTAATGCCAAGGCTAAACATTCTTAGAGAAAATCACATCAAATGTATATCTGATCATGCACTGCTCATTTCTAAAATCTAATACGAGGCAGAAATCCCATCAGAGAACCACTAATGGCAACTGCGGAAGTTTAGAATAAGTATGTGGGCCTTCTCACTTCTGCACTGATGCTGAATTACTGTCTGCTGCTTTGCTCAGCCAAGTGTTGCAGTTCACATTATCTGAATCCAATTTTTTGATTTTTCTCTGTATGTTCTACTTAAGTGGCTTAATCTTTTTTTTGTTGTCAAGTTACAGTTTACAATTGACCTATGCAGTAATAATATTTCAGTCAGGGTGGTAATTTTATTTCCATGCAGGCAAAAAAGTAGAAGCTTGAAAATTGTATTTTATAGACTTAAGCAGAACAGGAACACTAATAATGTATCTTTCTTTGCTCAGCAGTGAAGAACTTGTTTTTTTGCCAAGTTATCTGTTGTGTGTTTGTATAAGTTTCAACAAACTGATTTAAAGATTATAGATTAACTAGCATCAAGCACCCTCATAATTAATATATACCTGACAATCTACATTCTGGAAAGTTTTTATAGTAATGACTTCTTCAAAGTATGACAGTGTCTAAATGCTGCCCCAGTGTCTCATGGTGATTTAATTACATTTACTGCTTATATTATTGCTACATCAGTGTAGTGTCGGTAATTAACAGAACAATTCCATTAAAGTGTATATAGGTTTCTCTCCATTAACTGAGAATATAATGGCTGACAAAGTGGAAAAACCTTCAGCAGGCAGCAGCATTAAAGAGAAATATGCCAGGGATATTGGCTTTATATCAGACAGAGTCCTGAAGAACCAGTGACGGAGTGGAGCAGTGGCAGGATGTCAGGATGGCAGAAACTGGAGAAATAGGGACATGCTGAGAAACAGTCCTTTACCATTTGGGACCTGATGAATAAATATACTGTCAGGAGTGCACAACACCAGGAATATTTTAAGAGGGATTTAATTCTGATTTTGAGTTTAATTTTTAAGACCGCTGTTTAGGGGTGAGTGGCATAGTGGTCTGGCGATTAGCAATGCTGCCTCAGAACAGTGGGGCCCTAGTTTCAGTTCCTGGGGTGCTGGGGTGGAGATTTTATGTTCTCCCCATGTTCTCATGGGTTTCCTGCAGGTGCTTCACTTTCCTCCCACAGTCCAAAGACATACAGTACTGGTAGTCTAAGTGGTTTCTGTAAAACTGGCCCTCATGTGAGTCTGTGTCTGTGTGCACAGTGATCCCTTCCAGAGTGTATCCTGCCTTGTGCCCAGTGTTTGTCGGGATAGGCTCCTGCTCCTGCTCCCCTGCCACTCTATATTGGAAAAAGTACTGAAGTAGAAAATGGATGGATATTTTAGGGATAGCAATATCCTCCGGACTCAGGCTCCCCTTTCCAGGTCACGTGTCACTGCCACAGAGCCAACTGACAATATTCTCCCCTTGGGCAGTGAAATCTGTTTTTAATATTTATTTCTACAGGTACAGTAGTTTTCTATACCATTTGAACTTGCAAGTATATACCTGGGGTTGACCCACATACTTTTGGTGCAGAGTAACATCACAGAATCACAATCTGAATTGATTTTGTGAATGCTGTTGCTCAAGCCCACACCTTATTTAGTTTCCTCTAGTTTCCATTATGTTTTAATAATGTTTTCTTAATTCATTCACCATGTCTGCCAGAAAGAATGAAAAGGGAATTAAGAGACTGACCTCAATCCACAATGACCACAATTGTGGTAAATAAATAAATTAGATTTGATATTTTTCTGAAATTGAATAAGTAACTGTATCAAATTAAATGGCTCATGTTTTTAACACAGAGAAGGCAGAAATCCGTTTTTAGTTGTTTTGTAATCTTCACTACATGAAGTGAGACAAAAAAGCATCTTAAATTTAAAAGCATTTCTTTCTTTATAAATAATTAACATTATTTAAGAATCAAGACTTATTCGTACTGCGTGCAGTATCACAGGCACTGCAGGAAACAATGGAACAGATTTTATTAAATGTAAGTTAGTTTCACGCATGTCAGATATAATTAGAATATCACAAAATGTTAAGTCACTCTTTAATAATGCTTGATGCTTTTTTCTTTCTAACTTTTTTTTTCTAATAGAAGAACACAAGCATTGCAGGTCCTCCACCTAATCCTATGTACTTAGACACATGAAAGGCATGCTCTTTAACAATAGTGTACATCATTCCAAAGGACCCAAAGGACACTACTATCCTTCTGTTTCTACACCAAAAACAAATACCTATACCTTTTATATACCTTTTATTTGGAAGATATCCACTTTTATGCCAAGCAATATGTATTATACCATGATCCAGTCATAAAAAAAATAAGAATCTGAAAATACTGTATAATCCAAATAACCAAACTCCGTAGATATTGATTGAAATGTAGAATTCAGAATACTGCTCTGACACACAATTAACTGTTTAAATTTTTCATAGATTGAAATAAACTCAGATACAATTCTGAATAACTCATACAGTACATACCTTTTCTCAAATATGTACTGTAATACACAGATACAGTATTCGACACACTTCAAATCACAGTCATGTATCAATTGCTAATATGTGCATATATATCGTTATATATATATACTGTGCAGCATTTGTTTATAAATTTGATTGTACCCTTTGTCTAGAGAAACTAGAATTTTGCCTGTACTCGTCTATACAATCAAACATTCACCATGCATTGACTGCTCCTAAAAAGAACATGCACTCTTACAGTATATACAAAAGATATACTGGATGCATATATTCCATACAGTATTTCATTTGCTCTTCCTCTAGATGACTAAACAAACTGATTTATGCATTAAAATCATTCAATTCTATAGAAAAAAACATTTAAACAAAAAGATGTGATTAAGAAAGCATTTAAACATTTTTAAGTTGTCTATAGCCTACAGATTCCTAACATTGCAGTGCTTTTAGATTAGTGAGTATTTTTTGCTCTTTCTAAATATATATGATGCTGTTGATCCAGAATGTCTTGACATTGACAGTGGGTAGTTTCTGAGAAAGAAAGCATACCAATGATGTTTGAAGTCACTGTGGTACTTTGCTCAGTTCCACCATGCTCTCTGTTCACATATGAACCGCTGCTAACACTGCAGGAATATTAAAAGAGACAAAGCACTTACAATAGGAAAATGGATCAGCTAGCCACCAACTTGTCAGTCAGCTAGGTTACACACTGAGGTGGATCCAGAAGTTCAGCCTGGTGACTCCTCACTGGTGTCTTGAAGTCTCTAGTTTTTCTTACACAACTTCTGCAAGGCACTTGCTTTATGCAAGCTGTTGTGCAACACAATGGCCAATCACAGGGGACCTATTTGAATATTAAATAGGAGGCCTGACCAATAAGGAACATACAGGGGAATGACTGGGTGTTGGCCTTGCTGAGTTATGTCAGTTCTGTCCTGATGCTAGATAAAGCAGAACAGAAGAGTCTAAGAGGGTGTGGAAAGCAGGGATCAATGATTTGAGTGATTAGTCCTTTCACAAGATTATAGACAACCAGTCCTGTTGCACTGGGCCAGTAAAAATAGTGTTATGAGATGTGCCTCTGTGCTTTCTGAATGGTGGCATCCATGCATAATTTTTCAGGTTACAGACTCACAAATACAACATGTATGTAAATTACAAGCTCTTTACAAGGTTATACATTTATGGACCATGACGGCTAATTAGATCGTACTATAGTATTTCAATCAGCGTTTTTCTCACTGAATTTTTCAAAGACACGGTACACAAGCTACAAACAAGTACAGTAATCAATTAAGAAATGGCAGAAGTACATTCGATGTAAATGGAAACCACACTTCATTTATTTTCCTGATCTACAAGATCTGCTTGAACCACTCTGAAATAAACAATGCACACGTACAGTACAGTATAGTGGAAATGTATTCTATAAACACTCAATGGCCTGGCTAATAGCTGAGGAGAAGGTCTTTGTCATGTTTATATCTCTCCTGAGTGCACATGTATCTTGTCTTGTAAGAGGATTGCCATGTGATAAAAAGAAATACACTAAAAATGTTGTTATTTTTTTTAAAAAACTGCAGGAACAGTATGTGTTGGAATCTTTACAGAGAGCACTTCTGCAGCACCATTAGTTATGAAGACACTCTCTGGTTTTAAATGCACTGTAGATATGCTCAAAGAACAGCCTTTCTTAAACCTTTCTGAAAAATTAAATGTTTCTTACCATTAATCATGTTAGACACCTTGGTATATTCATTTCATTACAACTTTTCCATCCATCCATTTCTAGTAACTGAAACTTTATCCTTAGAGATTTACAGTAAGTATTTGGTGAAGTCGGTTGTTTTTTTAAAAACATTTCATACATCAAACATTTTTTAAAAATTAGATACATGCTGGTTGTTGTTATATCTTCATAAAGTATTTTGTTAGCATTTGACAACTCTCCAGGCTGTTTCTGGGGGCACAGATTCAGATTTTAACATTTACTGTATGTTTCCCATCTACTGCACTAGAAGTAGATATGTGATAGTAAGCCTGGCAGTAAAATGGCATGGTTTTGTTCCCTCCATTAAAAAAAGTCAATTTCTCACAACTGAACATTATAAATAGGGTGCCAATTGTTCATATTCCCTTTGTGATTTTAACTGATCATTCTGATCTGGATTAAGCAGAGCGGATGATGTCCTGACTCCATAACTTGGCTTCCCATGTGTCATCTCAGTAACTAAACCATAGAGCAGACTGTTAAGGAGTTTCAAGCCTTCAGCCTACCCTCGGAGCACTGGCCTCCCTGCTGTGGGTCCTCCGCCTGATCACTCAATCTGCTCGTTTTTATTACAGCTTGTTTGAGGTTTGTTTTATTTCTCAATCCTGTACTGCTGCCTCAGCTGCCCACTACAAGGACTCTTTGCAAAATGTGAGAAAAACCCAGGGCTTTTTACTCTGTTAAAGATACCAGTCAATGGCTTTCTATAATGGCTCTTTATTTAAAAGGTAAATTAAACAAAAGCTTATGAACTCCCTTTTAAAAAAAGAACTAATTTGGCTAATTCAGGTTTGTACTGTATGACTCAGTAGCTTTATAAAATGATTTAGTTTGATTTACATTTATAAAAGGATGTTCTGTTTACTTTTCAAAATTAATGCTAATAGATAATTATTACAATTTCTGCAGCAATGGGACCAAATGGTCAAGAAATATTCTCAACAACATAGCCTAGTTATATTAAAGAAAAGGAAGGGTCTCTCCTGTGTTTTGTCAATAATTGACATTTGAAAAATATTTCAAATTAAATTAAATTTAGTATATTTTAGATATATATTCTACTGTTTTGCTCAGATAAATCTGTTAATTTAAAAATTATGCATACCCCATACTTTGTTTGCTTCACTAAGAAATATATAATTTACAGATCTTCTGTTGCGAGCTTGATCCCCTAGGTCTTGAGAAGGTTGTTTTAGCATATTGGGCTTGTTGGCACAAAGTCATACTTTTGACAATTATTCAAAAACAGGATTCATCCACAAACTGTATTTTCACAATAAGGCATTTCACATACACAGGTACATCTTTGGCTTCACAAAATAGTGCTTAACAGGTATTGAGGATCTATGCCGATTTTTAAAGCACTACAACAACATTGTATGTGTTCAAAATGCTTAAAGGTTTTTCTCATTGTTTTGTAACTGGCATTGAAGGTGATTGATTATCCAGGGAACATGAGTAAAAATTGCTTATTCATTGAAAAGGCTACGGTGTTGGATTGTAAGTCCTCATAGGATACATTTGGAACCATTTTATAAGGAATCAAATAACCTTATAAAGGAACTCATAACTATTAAGAGATCAGCCAAGCTGCTGTCCCACCGGCCTGTGAAAAGTTTGCTTTGCTGCATCCACGCTCAGTTTTTCTCAAGAAACATCCAAAAGTCAGTGTCATATAGAAGCTTAGAGTTGCAATCTCATACTGCTATAATATTGTCCTCACTTTGTGCTCCAAAGATCAGTCCCGAAGCCTGCAGATTTCCAGACTGCATAGCAGTTCAGGGACAGCTGCATTAGCACGGTCATGGTGATGGGAGAGATTGGCTTAGACAGCTCGTAAATTTTATATTCCTCCATCAATTTGGTTTTATACCCTGATTAGCATGGCTCTGGCTAATCAACCCCGCAGGAGGCTTCCTCTGACCTCCCTACAGTGGCAGAAAGTCAGTCAGAGACACAGGTCAGCAGGGAAAAGATCTCACTGAAATGTGCACAGCTCAGCAAAGCCATGGTACTACAATCTCTTAAAAGATGTTCTTTACAAATTCCTGAATTAGCATTTCTGCAGCTACACTCAAAAAAATGCTCTTTGTTGTAGGTTGGGGTACTATTCTTAGCTCATAAAGCTTAAGTATATGAAGATATAAATATGAAGAACAGTCTGTGCTTTTCTACGAGGTTCCTTTCATTAATTTGGGGGTGGTTGAACTCAGAAATGAAAGGTAATGAAGTTGTCAGGATAGAGCAGAGTGACTTTCTGTCAAACACACAGAGCTTACTGCATCATTATTATCAGTACAGGGGTCTGAGTGCTGACCCTCGGCAATCTCACAGTCATGGACCCTTTGTCACCAACAGGTGAATGATCTCATGTCCTGGGGAGGGGGAATGCTGGGACATGTCACAATGCTGCCCTGTCAGTGTGTCAAATGTCCTTGGCAGTGTCTTTCATTCAGGCACCTTTCAACTGAGAATTATGATTCTCATAATTCACTTTCTGCTGAAATGCAATCCTGTCAGAAATGGCTGTTTTACGCATCACACAACCTACTATATGTATACCATACTAGGTGTCATGTAATCTGTTCTTTTAATCTTCAAAAGGTACCTTCTCAGGTGATAGGATATACATATAATGTGTAGAAACATTTACTGTGTTCATAATTGTGTTAAAGGAACATATGAAGTGTTAATGTGTTTCTTTAAAGCATGTCAACTTTTGTCCATCGTGTAGGTCTACACTTGCACTTCTTATTGGATCCTCACTAAATACAGGTATATGTCCATCAGTTGAACACTGGACTGATTATGGGTAACTCTGAACTACTTTATACTCTTATTCAATAGAATAGAGCAGAGTGATACAGTCACAGCTCTCTCACTGGCAGACATTTAGTCTGAAAAGTCCACATGGATGGCCATGGGAGAGATGGGTGTTTAATATCCCTCTAATATCCAGATGACAGCCCCCTATAACTGCCTTTCTAGAATAATAAACATTAAACAGTTTTTCACCTGTGCCTTTCTATATTCCAAAAATACAAAGATGTTGCCTGCTGCCAGCTTGCCAACAATATACTCTTTTTACAAAGTATTTTTTCCAGGGTGTTTTTAAAGGCTATAAATCATTTTTTTAATTTAGTGCATGAATATGTGATTTATGCCCTTCCAGCTGTAAAAATAAATCTATTGTGTAGAACGAGAGGAAAATGATGTTCAGGTATTGATTGGCTTGTATAATAGTGTTTGTTTTATATAGCTGATCCCAGGAAATAAACTAATTTAATATTTTTGAACAAGCTCTTGTGTTATGGCTGACAGTTTAAGGGAGAGGAAACATTGCGCTCATAGAAGGAGCACACTGTCTATACACTTAACAGTGAGGACCCATCAGTTTGTCTGCTTGCCTCATTGGTGCTGGTACAAAAGCACAGGTATTGTTTAGTGTTCTACCAAAACAAGTACTGTAAATGAATTTCAGAAGACTTGTTCTCACTCAAACTGGAGAGCTGGACTGGAGTTTATATCTTTCTTCAAGAATCCCTAGTCAGTTACAATAGAGTAATAAAAACAGAGCCTGAGTCTAATACATTAAACATGTATAATTAGTCTGATTGAATCATACAGTTTAGATACAGGTGTGTGGCACCAGTAAATTAATTTAAATTAATTAATTTAAATTTCCAGTACACTGATTGATGTCCTTTTACAGCTCTTGACTGGAGAGTGAATCTTTTGTAGGGCAAGCAGTTTCCAGACAATTTTCTTCTCCTCAGAAAAGGAAAGGTGGACTGTACTGTATGTGAAGGAAAGCACAGGACTATTTGTTTTGAAAGGAATTTGACGGGATCCATTTGTAAAGAACTTTGTTTAATGTTGGATTTTTTTTATTTTCATCATCATTGAGGTTAATGTTCACATTAACAATGGCTGGAAGTTTTTTGGTTCCGTTTAGAAACCTTTAAATAACAAGCCACTACTGGCAGTTTGTTAACATGAAGTCAAAATGTTCCCGTTAAAGAAATCCAAAATGAATCAGTTAATATGCCCAGTTTAAGGCACGTCCTGTTGAATAAGAAACTAGGACGGTATTGTGAAGAGCCTGAAACACAGGGCTGAAGGTGGAACTAGTCCCTGACCAGAACACACGTCCAATGCATTTCTCGTTCTTCTACAATAAAGACATCAGTTATCCTTTCCTCCTTGGCAGGAAGCTGTAGCAACCAGCAGATACCCACTTAGTCCTGAGGAGAACATGCAAACTCACTACATAAGGAACACAGTTCAGAATCAAGCCCGGCACCCAAGATCTGGAAGGCAGCAACACCACTGTTCTGCTCATGGAGACGTTAATGCAACAAAATTAATTGTCTTTGATTATGTTTGTGTTTATCCACATACCTGTTATCCTAATATCCTTAGCCTCATCTATACATTAATTTACAGATTTACAGACACTGTATGAAGGGAGACCAAACAGAACTGACCGTCTTTCAAGTGTTTTGTTAAGGACGCTCAAAAACTACGTCTCCCAGCATTCCCTTGTTCTTTCGAGATTCGATTACGTAATCAAGAAGTGGACAAAGCCAAACATCCGTGTGCGCGCTGGCGGCTCGAAATTAGTGCATGCAGCAGAAGGAAATTCAAAACGAACAAGGTATTTAAAATACAGCTGTTGTGTTTATATTGTTTTAGAATCGTAAAAGGTTGGAACGGTTTCACTGTATATATTGCACTGTTATTGGTAGCTATTTAATTATTTTTAAATAATGTGAGGTTCTAACTGTCTGGTACTCTTTTTTTTCTGGTCTCCCAATAAACGGGCCTTTCAGTAAATCATGACTAGATAACCCTGCAAGGAGAGGTCAGCTCAATAGACATTCTGTATAAATTCTAACATTACAGATAGGAGTGTAAATGGATAGGTGGAAGGTGATTTGCTGCTTATTTCTTACCTCAGAGAATCTTTGAAATATTTAGAAAAAGCTTTAGTAGAAACACGGCGTGTATATGTGGAATTATGTTTGTCTGGAACGTGTCTGTTATCAAGCAATATAGCCTTTTATTCAAAAATCGATCTTTTGGTTTATTAAAAAAACAAAGTGCACGTTATAACAGATTTTAGGCGCTTGCGTGCGTTTCAGTGGGTGAACGTTGGCCCCTCGTTAACACGTAGTGTATACAGTAGTGTCCCTCGCTACAAGGTGTGAGCGGTTATTCTGGAGAAAAATTCAGTCATTTTACATGTACAGCATTGGACATGATCAGAGCAGATTCATGCTTGAACATCTCGGGGAAATAGCCTGCAGTCCTCTGGCACTTCTGACCCGACGTGCGATAAAAGACCTTTCTTTGAAAACAACGCGGAGCTCCGATCCACATCGCAGACGGACAAATGCTCGGGAATGTAGCAATAGTCAGGCGCCAGAAGGTGTAAGATTAGAAGGTTAAATATTGATGTAACAAGAGAATGCTTGTAATGAGACAGTGACTAGGAGTATACTAAAAATACAGCCCTTGCCTGGAATGCTTATGGAAATGGAGCTGCTTTCCTGTAAGAGACTATCTGATGTGTCTGTATAGATTAGCAGGAAAAAACGATCCTGCTTAGTATGGGATGCAGGAGTTGGGTGTGGGAACTGACTCTGTACAGCCTATATTATCTAAGCCTTGTGGAAGGTCCTGTTTTTTGTCTGGGAGTTATGTGGGTGTTCTTCGAATCTTAAACCTCAGAAATTGACTTATTTCCTTTATTGCCTCAATTTGCACCTTCTGAGTTATTTTCTGCATCACCTTGAATATATTAGTTACTGTCATTGCCATCTATGTTATTTAAACGGCATTTACTCTAAATATCTCAAGGTGTTGCGTGACTCAATTTGCAGCCACTTACAGGTGATCAAAGCTGTTAACAGTGAAACTTTAAATCTGATAATTAATGTCTGGATTTAACCTGGAAAAAAGCTGTAATGCGCAGACAAATTTAGGTGCTTACCGCAACAGTTTTTTTTTGCAGTGCAGAACAATGTGGGGTTAATAGTCCCGTAAAAAAAAGACATGCAATTTCAGAGCACTTTGTACATCCTTAGAATCAACAGGATTCTAAAGCTTCACTTCAGATTGTAGACAAAGAGCACATAAACTGCAGGAGCGATAAAACAGCACCAGGGACTCAACTAAGCTACCACCTCTTCATCTCAGAAACTAAGCATTTAATCATGATGAATGATAGTAATCTATTGCATTTACTGACTGTGTTTCTTTACATATATGAGGAGACCCACTTTATCCAGCAGTGAAGTGCAGCCCCCAGAGGAGTAAGGAGCTGCTTCACCAGCTGGGTTCAGGGGGAACTCGACAGAGGTCAGATTTAGCAAGGCCAGAGTGGAATTTAGCCAGGACATCAGGTTTAACACCTCTACTTGAAAAACCGACATGGCATACATCAGGCAAAGCAGGTGGGATTTCGGGATTCCTGCTTAATATCCAGCATCTACTGCAACACTGTGCTCCTGAGCTCACCATACAATTGAATTGGACAATAGCATTGTACTGGACAGTCTGTTCCAGAGGGAAGGACACCAGTGGGTATAGTACTAGTCCCCCAACATTGTTTTAATAGCACACTAATAACAGATTTTACTTAGAGCTCTCCAAGCCTTACTTAGCTTCTGAGATTTGTCAAAATCAGGCAATCGATCTGGCATACAAGGTTAGGCTCGTTGAGTACTGACATGGGGTGATGGGGGTTAACCTGTATAATACACAATTTGTATTCCCTTACCTTGACCAGGGCATTGTTTTGATATTGTGAAGCATAGTACACCAGTTTGTCACCATTTCCACACTTTACCACTAAATTACAGTATACTAAATTTTTTGTGTAAAAATGTTCAAAATCAGCAATCAATCAGAATCAGTCAGCAAATAACATTTCAAATTGCAGAAGCCTATATCTTTCAATTTAATACACAGTAGCTACGGTAATTGTAATATGTATTTTTTGTGTGCTGGATGTAAGAGGTGTAGCTGTCTTCAGACAAGACCAAACTGTGAACATGTATAAAAAAAAGCTACACCTCTTACATCCAGTAAACTAAAAAATACATATTGCAATTACTGTAGTATTTTAAGGCTTTCATGTCAAAAAGTCAAGTGAACTTGAAGGCTGTGTCCACTGTTTTTCTGCCTTTAGCAAGTTGGATGCTGTCTCAGTGTACGTGTGAGATAGGAATGCCACTTCTTTTGTCGGCAAACAGCAGTTTTGTCATCTTTGCGCTTACAAAAATGTCATCGTGGACCAGTTTTGAATGTGTTAACTTTGGGGAATTATTTTCCATTTCCATAAAGTTTGCCTTCCCACGTGAGACGTTAAATATAAGTTACTGTATATTTGAAAGGAAGAACTGCATTTGTACCTGTACACACTCCTCTGACTATTCTAAAATATATTATAATAATAATGAATAATTAAAAATGAAATCATTCGGAAACTGTATAAAGCTAAATATAACATATGTTTTTCTCAGGAAGTTGTGGCGAGTTGTATATAGGCAGGAGGGAGAAAAAAAAACACAACGGCCGCATTAGTTCTGTTCCCCTTCTTTGACTTCTTGCCCTTTCAGATCTTTAAGTCCCTGTTTCTTTACAATACAGATGGGTGGAGGGGAGAATATGAATCTGCAGGATGGTCCCTCATTATTTCTGGGGACTGCTAACACTTGAAAGAGAAAGAAAAACGTATTACGCAAAGATGAAGAGCGCTGTCAGTGCGGGGCGGGGCCAGCGGATTTTCTCTCACATCATCTGTTCTGTGCAGCGCCGTGTACATTAATTTCTGGATCGATCTCTCCCCGTGAGTCAAAGAGACAAATGGTCGGACTGTCCTTAGTCAAGGGCCGCCGAGAGGAGCGAGGGTCTTGTCTGAAGACGGGTCACGTGTCAGGTGGTACCTTGTGCCTTCCACCCATTCTGTGATTTATTCTTCCGGCTCTGACATGGGGGGAAAAACGACGTCGCAGGAGTGAGAAACGGAGCTTGGGCGTTGGCCCCAGCTGCAAAACCAAACGTCTACTGAATTATTGGAGTATATTGCTATTATTGGAGAGGAAGTACCCTTTAAATTGGTTTTTATTATTTTCGTTCACTGTTTAATTTTATTTTGCAACAAGGCGTAGCCTAGGTACTCTTTTTGTGTAAAACGTCATTTTTATGGCATTTGTATGGCTGTGCTTGAACTTCACTTTTCCTGGTAGCATATCTTGGTGGTGGGGGCTCTAGCATATGATATTCAGTTGTTCGGGATGGGCAAGTAAAATAACTACTTAAAGGAGCATCGTCTAAGAGCTTTACAGTGGAGTCCGGTTCTGCCCAGTGGAGTGGAGTTCCAGTGCACATTGATGAATAACTGTAACCATTAAAACACTTGAAACACTGTTGTGCATTTCAGCCTTGTTTCTTCAAACAGAATCCATTTCTGCTTGTCGAGTTCACAGCAAATAAGCTAAAACTGATGAAGATGATCTCAGACAGCTTGAATTGTACACTTTTATTGGATAAACAACTAATAGGTCAAGATAATGTTGAATAAATCTTTTAAAGGCTATCAGAGTGGCAAAACTTGTCTTAGGGTTCTCAAGGCCTTGCTGTCTAGTTGTATTACAATGCAATTATAGGCTAATACAAGCTGTATGTTTCCGCAACCTCAGGTTTGGAATGGCACTATATGAATTAAAGAAAGTAGTAGTACGTGTTATTTTTTCCATTCCAAACATTTGCATTAAGGACCAAAACTACTGCACTCACGGTAGTTCACTCTCCTGCCTTAACTATCACTCTGTTCTGCCTTAACCAAAATGGGTTTCCTTTCTGGCAGTTTCTGTTGGCCAGCATGGTTGTTCTTTATGCCCGTAATATGTTTGGTGTTACTTTTCATCTGCATTCCCTGCATAAAACTTCAGTGATTCTGTGATTTTTATTGGTTTAATTCTCAGTGATTTTCTGAAAAGGCGAAGCTGGCTCAAGATTAAAGCTGGCTGTGGAAATTCATTTTTTTGTTTAATTTCAGGGTTATTGATCCCAGAGCTGTTTATTGCTGTATGACATCCATAATCACAACAACAGGCTGACAGTGGAGATAAATAAAAGGGAAGACGAGGGGGGGTTGAACTCAGTCCCATCACTCATCTCTCTGTATTAATTACTAGTTTTTCCTGACCTGATTGATCTCACTGCGACCAGCCATATATTTGCTACTGAACTTAAGAAAACTTTTTTTTAGCAAAGAAATTAAAAATATATCTAAATTGAAAAAATATATAAAGAACATATAATCTGTTTTGGTCATTTCAGTTAAAAGAGTGTTTCTTGCACATTACTGAACTGCATAAATGAGAAGGTTATGTAAGAAGCTGAATCTCTCTTAATAGAGTTGACTGAATTTGATGTAGAGGAACAAGTAAAAGGTTTATTCCGTGCTGAAAAGAGAAGAAAGGAAACAACATTTTGGCTGTGGAGCTCACACCCAAATAAGGCTCCACTGCTAAAGCGTTTTCCTTTCTTCTCTTTTCAGCATGGAATAAACCTTTACTTGATCCTTGCAGCCTATGCATGCTGACGCAGCTCCCCACTTGAACTGAATTAGATGTATGTCACTCTATATCGGTACTTGGGTGCTCTCTCTGTATGCTGGGCAAATAAATGCTAAAACTTTAGAATTTAAAGCGTAACAGTATAACCTAGCAACCTTCTGCTTTCACAGTGCTCTCAAACTCACAGAACAGTCAAGCAGACATGTTCATGCATATTGAAGAAATACCATACACCTGTTCCTCGGGTTACTTTGGATTTGGCCTTCTGTAGGTATATTTTCTTTATTGCTTTGAGAGCAGCAACCTCTCTTGACAGTGGTTATTTTATTGCTAAACCACTTCTGTCAAGATTTAATATCGGCAGTCTCACTTAGCACCTGCACTTACAGATATTCTCAGATATTCTGCAGGATGGACTGAAAAAAGCTGACATTACATTCAGTGTGATAAAAGTGGAAGCTGGTCCTCGCAGTGGCGTGTTGAGGGTCTTCACCGGGCGCTGGCGGTGCGTGTCGCGTGTCCAGTGCTGGAACGGGAGCGCGCCGCGGCCCCGCTCCCCTCGGCGAGGCGTTCGCCCAGAGCTGACTCTTGGCTGTTGCAGGCCGAGCCGCGGGAGCCGATGGAACAGGAGGGGGAGAGGAGGCCAGCGCGCTCCAGGAGGCCTGACATGGCGCTGTACGTCCCCAAGAGGCGGCAGGGAGAGGGGGAGCCCGCGAAGGAAGCCCACCCCAGCGAGGTGGCCAGCAGGCAGACTCGGGGCGAGGCAAGGGGCAGACTCCAGGACCCGGGCGAGGTGGGCAGGAGGTCCAGACAGTGTAAGGAGAAAGGGAAGAAGGGGAATGCACGAGCCAGAAGGGACCGGGAAGGAGGGAGCAAGGTGCCTGATGGGGGGGTAGCAGACGGAGATTCCAGTTTCAAGGATGGCATAGGGAAGCCAGAGAAGACGAGAGATGATGAACGGCTGGAGCCTGAAGAGAAGGAACAGGGCGATGCTGTGGAGAATGACCAATTTCAGGAGCTCTGCGATTCCCTAACGAGAATGGGAGACGGAGACCCTGCTGTAAGAGGACCTGGTGTCTTCCGCACAGATCTGGAAAACGTGACTGGTAGCCCTAGCTTAGCAACAGCCTGTCCTCCTAACCCACTTCCCACCAAAGGAGAGGCACAGCCCGAGGATGAGGAACTGGACAAAGGGGGGATCACGCAGGGCTCCGAGACTGCCTTGCAGAACATACAGTGGCCTGCTTCAGACAGGCCTGTCAGCCAGGTGCCAGAGATGGCAGTGAGAGGAGACGAGAACAAGGAAGATGCTGGTTCTCTCAGTCCAGGAGAGACAGCAGAGCAGGAAGAGGACAGCTGGGACGTCCTTTTCAATGATGATGGGGACTGCCTGGACCCTCACCTGCTAGAGGAGGTAACTGTCCTTCAGTAAGGAAAACTTAATTTTAAAAACTGGTAAAAAAAACAGTTATTAGTTTTACTTAAGTATCTATGGTGGTTATAGGGGTAATTCTCGGTATGGGACCTATAGTCTTTGTCATTAACAAAGGAGAACTGATGATGCTGTGATTCAGTGTCCTTTGAATAATATATTAAGGATTTTGCTTCTCACCTTTCACATTTTGAAGAAAATGACATTAATAAAACCCACACAGATTAGTGTTATAGAGTGAATAGGGGTGAATACTTTACTCTTCTATTCCTTTTCAAAGCACAATGCTGTAATGGCAAATGTTATTGTGGGTAGTGTAAGTAATGTGGTCCAGGAAGGTTAAAAGGGATTATAGGCAAGCTTCAGTTGGTCTGTTTATAGCCGCCTTCCCTAACAACAGTAAAGGTTTGTTTTCCTGGTCACTTTTTTTGCAGAAATTACTCTTCTCAAGGGCTATTTGTCTTGAGGGGAGATAATTCAGAAGGAAGATGTAGATGTCACTGTTCTGGGTCACTAGTTTGCACACGGAAGCAGTATTGCTGCAATAAAGTGCCATCTGTAGTCTTATTTTCTTCCTGACTGGTTTGCTCTCCAATTGTGGGCTTAATCGAACTGTGGATCCTTAGTTTAATATAATATTTTATATTTGCCCTGTCCTTTTAAAGAACTACATATTTTAAGGTAATTTTATTCAATTACCAGTTTCTGTTATCAACTATTATAACGTAAGTCTTCTTGCTTCACGTTTTAAACAGAAGAATTACTATAATTGTAATATGCAGTACATATTGTAAGTGACTAATGTGGTTTTAAAATGTCCTTTGGGTAATGGAAATGAATTATAGCAGATAACTATACCCGTGTGGTTGGCACAGTTCTGTCAGACACTCCTGGCAAACCTATAAACAGGGTATGAAAAAGATGAAGTAGTCATTGTAAAGTTTTGGTATTAACACTCTCAGTTTCTGTTTAATATATCATGAATTTATTTTTTATTTTTTTAAATGCTCTTAAGCCCTCATTTTCATTTATCAGTCAAGCAGACATACCCTTTTCAACCAGCTGGATTGCTTCCAAAGGGAACATCCTGCGGAAAGCCACATTTCTGAAGGTTGTAAGTTTTCCCTGTATGTAAGTCATAATACAGTTTGCCTGAATTGTCCAGTTTCACCATATGCCTGAAGAGGGATCTGTATTCCATCTGAAACATAAAACTGGACTGTCATTAAAACATCAGATGAGAAAATATGGAAAAAGTGGTCAGGTGATCTCAGTCTAAATATAAGGAAATGAAACAATTATATGTGAATAATTCTTTATTTCAGTATTTCACAAAAATAGTTCAAGATGAAACAAGATCCCAGTCTATCCTGATTTGCATTTTATTTTTTGGGTTACCTTATGGCAGAATAATAATGACTTATTAGATTGCATTAAGACCTGTTATTCAGGCAAGGAAATGTTATTGCGTTAAAATATTCGAGAAGGCAAAAGGTAATGGAATAAATCAGTGACAAAATAATTGCTGTACATTTTTACAGCACTCTAGAAATGTTGATATTATTGGGGTAGAATAAAGATTTTTGACATAGTTCATGCCTTAATGGAAGAGGTAAGTTTATACAAGCTCTTTTATAATCACTACTGGCATTGGTTTCACTGTTTCTTATGGTTTTTATTAGTACAAATCGGAAACAGTATATGATTATCTCAAGAGAAAAGGGACTACAGTAGTGAAGATGGAAAAGAAACGATCGATAGAGGTTTCACTTTTCTATATGTAGTGGACGTAGTACCTTATTTTGAAATTTTCTAAACAATGCAAAGTCATTGGCCTTAATATTTTCTAGTTTTACTGTTGAATGAGGTCAGGGTATGTTTATGGCTATGATGGATGTTATTTTAATCTGTTTATTTAGCCGGTTGGAGAGGAACATTTTTAATAACGTAATTAGGTATTTAGTTAGCTGTGGCAATTTCTAAAACCACAGTGGTGGAGTGATTCTAATTTTTGTTTTTCACTGTGTAAGGAAATATGGAAATTTATTTTCAGCCCAGAAGCACCCAGGCACTAATCCAATACAGTGGGTGAGTGCTGGCGCTGTCTATACTGAAGCAGTCTTTTGTATACTGCGTAGATTCTTAATACTCTTTTTAAACCTTGAAATACCTTCAGTACATACTGGCAGTAGTTTTTGAGACTAAACGTAAAAACAGAACTGAGAACAGGTGGTTTTCTATGTCATCGGCCAGTCACTTTTGTACAGTAAGACAGAAAAAGCTTAATTCTCCAGTTAGGTGTCATCCTGAAGTTTAATAGTTTTTTCCCCCCCACCCTGACTATTGAATATTTTTTCGGCTGTCCTTCCTTCACAGATCTCACAAAAACAAGGGAAAGTGAAGAAATCCATCCAGGAGCCACAATTCAATTATTACAGCGGGCCTGTGGAGCCGCAGCTGGACCTCAGCGAGGATGAGCTGTCTCATATTGTGGAGATCTATGACTTCCCTGCAGAGTTCAAGACGGAGGACCTGCTCCGGTCTTTCCACTCCTACCAGTGTGTATCGCACCCCGAGAGGGGGTCCGAAGCTTATAAAAAAAGACAGGGGAGACCCCATGTGAATTACACCACTTCAAACAGTGCTGCAAAATAAAAGCACATAGACTAAAAGTCAGGAGAGAAAGACCTGATAAAAGAGTGTGAGATGAGAGACTGATAGAGAGGCTAGAGGAGTAGTTTTTAATGTTGCCTGAGAGAATTTTAGAACTGCAGTTCTTTTACTGACAGAACTATCAACCTTTTTTTCCTCCAGAAAACCTTCGAAACGAGGAAAACGAGTGAGGGTGTGGGAGTGGAGATCAGACTATTTATCAGAGATTGTCATTTTAAAGTCAGTCATTATGGGGCCTTAGAATATAGGTAGCAGCCAATAGTAACCATTTAAACATTCAAGAACATGAACAAGATGGCTGTACCCTTTAATCAAAGGCCATACGAATGCAAATTGATTTAAATCAAATACTGGTGACGAAAGCTGAAGCAGAGGATCATAAATTTAAAGGCCTTTGGCATTAGCTATGCATGTGCCAGTGTAAATGGGCTGTTGAGTAACATCAGAAGCTCACTAAATACCACTTACTTTGAATTATTTCCACTGTTATTCTTTGGCCTCCATCTCACTGTCATCTATGTGCCTCTTGTATATCTAAGGTCAGGCCTTGTCGGGGCAAGGCTCAGCCAACTCTAGTAAACATTCTTGTAATTGGAACATAAATGAACTCACTTTTACTACTTCTTTAAAGATGAGATCCTGCTTTTGGTTTTGCAGGATTGGAAGGGCAGTGAGGTCAGACCTGAGAGCAGGTCAAGTGAGTGGGTTGGAGCTGGTGCACAATGAGATTCATTTAGCAGCTAAGGGACAGAAAGACATTGCGCGATGTAGTGAAATCGAGTGTTGCAATTCATTTTACAGGCAGAAAGGCTTTGACATTCAGTGGGTGGATGACACTCATGCACTGGGACTCTTCTCCAGCCCAATAGCAGGTGAGCTTTCCCATTCTGCACCAGCTCTGTGGTGCTGTCTTAAGCTGGTCTGTGTGTTCCACGCATCGTGCTGCTTTTTTAGACCAGTGCGTTGCAGTATTCATTTGAATTCAAACTGTAATGAAATGTATAGAAAGGTGGTTTTAAAAATGTTTGTCCTCTGAACCTGCAGGGAAGAAGCTCTCATTGTTGGTGTTCCGTTTATTTTAATTCATCGTCTTATTCTTCAGCAAAAGATGCCTTAAGGTCCAGACACCCCATGATGAAGGTTCGTCCTCTCTCCCAGGCTTCCTCAGCCTCAAAAGCAAAGGCCCGCGGATGTTCAGGTACTGTAGGCTGGAATATTCAAATGGGCTGACATCAGTTCCTTTCTTTAAAGTAGCTTGACTTTTGATAATGGTCTCAGTGCTCCAGTTCATCTAAATTATAGGCAGGAGACACCTGGTAATAGTAGTTGTGCTTCTCTTTTTGTGTCAAATCTTGCTGCTGCCGTGTTATAGAGCAAAGCTATATGCAGCCAAAGTCTTTGTCATGAGCACAACCTTTAAAGCAGAAGTGTTTTTAATCTGCCCTTGAAATCATATACCTATGATATGCCACCCTCACAATATTTTCATGCCAAGCTGCTTCCAATTATGTGATCCACTGGAGTGAAGCAGAGTATGTGTTTTCCACTTCCAAATTGTCGCCTGTATAATTTGTTTCCGATACTGTTATCTGCAGAAGAATACCTGCAAGCAAGGCAAAGCAGTGTCTCCAGGCACATTTCAATTAACTTTATGTTCAGTTTCATTTCTCTCATTTGCCAAAGCTTTCTGATCAGGTGTTTTGTTGTATTAGTCCAAGGGTGCCTGCTTTATGCTGTGGAAGGATTGGCTGCTCTTTGTGTATCTTCTGTGCACAGGCTGTTAAACGTCAGCAGACTGTGTCTTTAATGGAATCTTTTCTCATCTGAATCGCCTCCATCGCTTTTCTTGCAGTCTTGTAGCCCCGAGAATCTTCATTACAATGAGTGGCGTTTGTGCTTGTCTGTTCCTTCTCCCAGACTCCCTCCTGCCCGCGAAGGAGCGTCCCCAGACCAGCGCAGCCCTGGCCCGCAGGCTGGTGATAGGGGCACTGGGTGTGAGGAGCCCTCAGAGCAGAGAGGAGAGAGAAGCAGAGAAGAGGAAACTGCAAGAAGCTCGTGGTGAGGACTCACTCAAGGGATTCTCCTTCCTTCCCTCCTCTACTGCTAATCAGCCCCGTTAGCGTTCTTCCACAATTCCTTCCTTGGTTAAAATGTCAGGGTTCTCTAGGAGTAGATGTGCTAGATTCAATTCAACTTTAATTCGATTCAACTTTATTGTCATTAAACTTACACAGGTGCATAGTATAATGAAAAGTGTTTCTCATTAGTCACTCAGGTGCAGTGTATAAATAGGACAGAAGATAAGACAATAGACAGTAACACAATAGCAATAACAGTAACATGTAATAAAATAACATAAATTACATGTAATCAAGTAATGTGCCAACAAACTGCTTACAAATGAGAGAAAACTTTCTTAGGTTCTTATTTATGTTCTTTTAAGTCTTCTTCTCCTCCTCCCTTTGCTCCTCTTCTGTTTTTCAAAGTTCAGTATCTGACAGGACAGATCTGCTGAATATATTTTTAACCAGTCAGGCCAGATTAGCTGAATTGCCCTCTCTTTTCCAGCATGTGTGTTTTTATATTCATGTTGACATGATGTCTTGATTCGGATGCAGTAACGTCTTTCAGTGGAAACCACTAGATGGAGACATATTTCATGTAATACATACAACGACTTGGTTTGGAAGAAACTCTTAAGAAACGCACATTTGTTTGCAGCTTGTGGAGGAAGTGGATGTAGGCAACATCCTAAGTCATTTTAGCACTACAAGGTTTTGTATTTTAAAATATCTGAGCAAGCCGACAAGGTCTTAAAGATTTAAAGATTTTATAAGAGGAACGAATAAGTGTTATTAAACTCATAACAGTAAAAAAGCCTGTAGTTTAGCAGAGATTTATAAAATGAAACACTACAACATGCAACATAAGCTAAATAGGAGCTTTTCAAGACTGTATTTACGTAAAAGCTTTTATAATCTTTACAGCACATATACAGTTTTTTGGGTAATATTGTCAGGATCTCTAATCCTAACCATGAAACAAAGTGTAATGCAGTGATATTAATTTTAACTATATTGTTAGGTTTCCCTAGATACTGTGAATTACTACAGGGTCTAATTTAACTGTAAATCAACTATGAATATGCTAATAAATCAAGTCCTTTTCTCCACCCTAGTCTCTGGGATACTTATAAGATTTAGCAGAAAAATCCAACAGGTTTACTTAAATGTCAGCCTGTGTTGTCTCGAAGGTATTAAAAGCTCACATGCCCTTTGTCTGTACAGAATTGCTGCAATCTCCTCGTGTTTCACAGGCACTGAAATCACCAGCAAACCGTAAAGGAAAGAAGGGAGAATTGTGTGCACACAAGGGTCGGCCTGATGGCTTGTGGTTGAACAGTAGGCGCACTGTTGTAAATAACAACATGTCATCCTGCTGAGGCAGAGGTGAATAAACACCGGTGTGGCAGAGAAACGCATTAGAGAGCAACCCCCTGGACTCAGCTAGTCCTCCCTTAGAAAGGGGTCCTTCCTGTCCCCTTTCCACCAGGCTTCTTACGCTTTATTTTAGCAGCAGAAGAGCTCATTTGAAAAAGATCTAGCTGTTGATTTTTTCCCCATTGATTTCCAGAAAGAAATATTCTGTTCTCTACTGCATTATGATGATGCATAAATCACTGTCACCAGGAAGAAAAATCCTGTGATCAGCAGAATTGCCTGCTTTCATTTTAAAGAGAATGTAGTCTTATAACCTCTCTATAGAAACAATTAAACTTTGAAAAATGTTAGTAGTAAGTCTGATCATCTATTAAGGGAATTTCTGTTGTTTGCACCAATTGTACCAGAACTATAAATTTATAATTATGACAGGCATGTCCAATTCTGGTCGTTCAGGGTGGCTGGGTTTGGATGTTTTCACTCTTATCTCATCTGTCAACTTCTTTTTGCTTTTTAGATATTAATCTTTGTTTAATTAGACAAGATTAACAGATTTAACCAATTCTTAAATTGTGTCGTAAGTAAAATTATAAACGCTGCTGGCCTGCAGCCCTCCAGTATCAGGATTAAAAACAATATTTCTAAAATGTATTCTGGTTTGAGTGAAGCAGTTGCGTGATGCTTCTGTCTTGACCGGGAAATCTTAATGATGGAAGCATAAGTCTCCAGGGTTGTTTTTTTACTTTTGAACAAATGAAACAAGTTATGAAAACAGCTTGCAAAACAATTATTTTAATGCATGTTTGAAAATGATATAAATACCATGAATACAGATAACATAACTGATGTTTAATGGAAACAGTTGGGTTTTTCAATAGTAACCTAGTGTGCACGTGTAGTGTTACTGGAAAGAAAACTGTCAAAATTAGTTGAAGGATCCATATAAATATTGATTTAAAAAAGTATGATCCGAGGCCTTTCAAGTTGCTTAACCAGGCCAGTCGCTTTAACGTTGATTTAATGTTGATTTCTGCGACAGTGGGTTTGATCCTGGGTTATTATTTTTACATTTTCATTTTTCCTTTCAGAACAAAAGCGCTTGGCAGCAAAACAACGTGAGGATGCTTGGGAGGGAAAATGATAAGCCTGACAGTGAAGAATGAGCTGTTAGTGGGATGTGTCGTTTCTTCTCGAGGGTGTGAATGGCAGAATGTGTTCATTACCGAACGGTGAAGTCTCAGGTCTCTGCCTTCTGATAAATACATACCCCAGAGCTGTCCAGTCAGACCACACCGTGACACCCAGCTCTGTCCGTCTTGGTGTGTAAGTCCCTTGCCATCTTTTGCTCTGTCTCAGCTCCAGCAGTAAATCCCTTTTCTCTGTGAGCCTTCTGTGGGTTCTGAAAACTATACAATTACTAAGGATTCTGCTAGACTCACAGCAGATTATTCTGTGGAGAGCTGGCAAGCTCCTCTTATGTGTTGCTAAATTCCTTTCTGTTTTACAGTTTACAGTTAACTGACAGAATTTTACCCTTTTCTGGTCTTAATAGGCATTCCAAGGAATGAACCACCTATTGTACCTTTATGTGTTCAACCATAAGTGTGTGCTCTTCAATACTCTGACATCCTGTGCTTGAAACCTGCTAATGCTGAACATCAAGATGTGTCTAGATGCATCAGTCTTCATGGGTGCTTGACATCAGTGCAGAACTTGCCACACAATCCCTGCCAGTTGACACAAAGCAGTTGTTACTTAGAGCTGCAGTCATTTTGGTGTTCATGCTGTATCTGTACAAAAGACTTTGCACTTATATCATGATCTGTTCTGTAGTGTCTTGCAGGTACTCACCTTTCTTCAGCTTGGCACCTTGTGAATCCTTCTATACAGCCCCAGAGTAGAGAGCATCAGGGTGCAAAGGTTTCAATCCTGTACAGTGAGAAATTTCCCCATCCCATCCCATAACAGTATTTGTATTTCCAATCCTGTCTCATCCTGTACATCCATTACAGGATGTAATGCTATTTTTAAAGAAATCACATTTCTTTCCGTCTCATGACATACCGAGAACACTATTTGGAGGTACAGTAGTATTAGATTCAAAAGTTAGGTTTCTAGTTTATACAAGCTGCAAATACCTTGTGTAAACACATTCTTAGCCTGTTTTGACAAATGTTTCTGTGCAGAATCATCTTAAAATAAGTTGCATCCACAAAACCTCAGTTCAAACCCTGTTATTCAACATATATTTATTTCAGTGTAGTGTCTCTGTTGTAAACTTAAATCACCTCCCTTTAAAGAAGCACTGCTCTCAATTTTTCAAGAATGAGATCATTTAAGAATGTACATTTAATGATACTCAAAATTATATATTTTCAAAATGTTAGAATTTTATATGTATTCTAAGATATAAAACATAAAATTACCTTTAATACTTGTTTCTTAAAGCCTGTTCTCAATCAGGGGATAATTCTGCTGACTGTAGCTCACCTGTACTTTGACCCAGTGCCAGTCAGCCAGAAGTCTCAGGCATACATTTCTAGCACATTTTGAAATATTTAGGGCTGATTTGAGGTTGTTTGATTTTCAAGTGAATAATTTGAAAATACGGCCATATATTTTGCTATCTGAAGATGTGCAGCACATTTTTCTTAAGGCCATTCGTCCTTGTCACAGTTTTCAATTTAAATTTGGTTTAGCATGTGTTGCATGCAGTGCACTCCCATTTCCTGAATCTACTGATAGCTGCCTAAATGTTTCCAATACCCCACAATGCCACTTGACTGTTACTTTTCATTGGGTTAAGCTTTTCTTATCTCTGGTCACACCCACCTTTTACAATTTGAAGTTATGTTCTGAAACCATTACCCTTTGAATTACCACAAAACACCTGGCATTATTTTATTGATTAAATCTCTTTTACTTGGTTAAAAATGATGACACAGAATATTGATTGGCGTAAAGAAAAAACATTTGCAGACTGACTGTTCATTACTAATAGTATGCATGTCCTTTCTGTATCATTCCATCATGGAAGGATGTGTCCCATTCTTGCCTGTCCCAAGAATTAATCTTTTTTTTCTTTTCCATTCCTACAGTATGTATATCATGCTTGTACTGTGGCTATCTCATGCTAATGTTGCCCTCTACCCTAGTGCCTTCCTGAATAGATCCCTCGTTTGGCCTATCTTCAGCTTTCTGTCATCCCAGTGTCACATACAGACCACATCAGAGTTGTGTATTCACTCTATGGTGTGTGCCGACTGCTCCTGCTTCTGTGGTGGTCCCAAGAGTTCAGATGACAGCAGTAGGTTGCCACACATCAGCTCAATGTGGGCTCATATCTCTAAAAAACACAGGTTGCCTTCACCCATTTCTCTGCTCTCATTGGGCTTATTGGTGTATTCCTCCTGTGCATCTCCAGGTACACCCAAGAAGCAGCATAGACTCAGTGCCAACCACCCCCCAGCCTCACTTGCAGTAGGTCTGTGGCACAGCTCTGCACCCAGTCACCTCCCTATCACCTTCCAATGGTAATGAAGGAGCACTATTTCATATCCATGTCCCTTCTGCAGCAACACTGAGACCTAGTTTGGCCTACCAGGCGGAAGCTGCCCAGGCAGAGTGCCAATTGGACACCTTTAGCATATGTGCGCCGCAGAAGGCAGAGACAAGGCCCTTACCCTTCAGTAAATGCTACATGCACTTCCCCAATGACTAACGCTTCTGCCATTGGGAATTGAATTTGGAAACGTTGTTTTTATTTCACCAGACATATGAATGTCCAAAGAAACTTGATTTCCCGTTTTGTGCTGTGGCGTTGCAAAAGACACTTTCCAAAACATAATTTAACGACGTTCAGGTGTGTCTTTTAGGAAGATGGCAAGTATATGCCAAGGCCCTGCACTGTGAACAACTGTGACCTGGATAAACTGAACACCCAATGCCACTCTTAAGATATAGATGAGCTTTTGTAGAGTTGTGGTCTTTTTTTGGCCAGATTCTTTTCATGCAACAACAGTGGCAGTTTTAATATTGTTTTGTATGGTAATTTTATATTTGTATGTGTATATGTAGTTTTAACTGTGTAACTGGGTATTTGAAGTGTCCTCTTTTTAAAATGTTTCAGCTGTAAATGACTATTGATATTGTTAGTCAAAAGGACTATTGTTATGCATTATAATACCTGTAAATTTTAATAAAATTGTGAATTAAATCTTAGCACAGCCCATTAAAAATGTGCAGCCTTCCTCTTAACTAAGATACTGTGGATCTGCAATTGCTTTTGGATTTCTGGAACTTGGTGAACAGATTCAAGAGTTGTGTTTTTTACCTTCTGTACTTAAATTTGGCACTCTTACTTAAAACCCATTAAATATTTTTTTATTCCTTTGTAATTACCTGCTTCGAAATTCTTAATGTGAGTTCTGCTGATAATCTTGCTATTTTTCCTTGCCAAAATCTTACCAGGAACATTTTTAGTAAAGGCCATGAGTGATCTCCAAAACAAACAGTTTTGCTTACACACATGGTAAAGAGTACCATTAACTCACAAACCCATAATATAACAGCTTACTGTTGATGTGTCAAGCTCTTAATTGAAATGACAATTTCATTATTGAAATTGTCAAGGCGCTGCTGTAATTCAGTGTGTGTTTAGCACTGCTTTGTCTTTTGACTTACATGCTTCTTTTCAATGAATCAGTCACAGTTTATCATGAGATGGTGTCCACTGCTTGGTGCTGACACCAGTTATGCGTCAGTTGTCCTTGGTGTGGTGAACTGCGGGTTACTGCATGCCCCACGGCAGAGGGTGAACATTTAGGGACAAATGGCAGCTCTGTGCTATGCAGTGAGAAGTGCGATCCAGTCTGGGAGTTGGCACAGAGCTGTCATTCACAACTGCTCATAACCTCACACAGTGGCCATTGTGGGAACTTGGTCTCCAGAGAGGTGGGGGTGTGGAATGATCTGGCCTCCAAATAAACACGTGTCCACAAGCAGGATGTAGTCCTCCTGGGATAAAAAGGAAACAGGGTGACTGGTTGTTTTCTGACGCGTACATAGTTACATTCTGATGTTAGTTAAAAAGCCGTGAAGTTTGAAAAATGCAGCTAGGTATTTAGTGAGTCAGGTGTCTGACTTTTAAGTGTGCTTTCTTGTTGTTTTTCTTAGTTTTTTCAAAGTTATTTTTCTTTTTATAGAAGGAAAAAAAAACGTTTTCTCAGGAAAGCCACAAATGAAAAGACCTTTTTTGAGACAGAAGGTGAACGCGGAGGGTCATTTCAAAGGGATATAGCATTCCAGATAGGCATCAAATTATTAGCCAAAAGATCTAAAATTTCGAATTAATAAGTCTCTCAAGTCTGTCCAAAGTTGTCTTTGAGATCTGTTTGAATTAGTTCTGGGTGTTTCCATAGTCTGACTTTGGCTTTAGAATTTGGTGTTTGTCTCACACCGTAGACACATATCCACATCTTAACTTGAGATTTGCTTGAGATATCAATACTTCACAGAAAGTTGTCATAAGATATTTTAGGCTTTAATATATGTTTCATCTCTTTTTTTTTCCCCATACATCTAATTTAGAACTTCTGTTTCTTTGTTGTTGCTTAAAGATTGCAAAGATTTAGCACTTGACTGGAAACTGGTTCAGGAAATTGTTTCCTGTAATAAAACCTAGTATTTCTTCTTGATTTTTATTTTCAAAAATTCTGTGGTGTTTAAGATGATTAAAGCTCAAGGAACTAGTGGTTTATTTGTGCTGTTATATTGCAAAACATACTGAATGTTTATGTTGGTAGCAGTTGAGGTTAGATTAGAGTTTAACATGTAAAATTGTAAAAGGCCTTTAGACTCCAGTATGTATATTGGCTTTACCTACATTTTAAATTCCTTAAAATCCACATACACAAGTGATTGAGATATGCCCTGCACATAATGGTAAAAAGTTTATTAATTATTGAATATGACTGCAGATATTTGTATATCTTTTTTTTAAATATAGAATGGAACTTGTTTATATATTTTGACTCTGGTTTTCAGGAATACAGAATGATAAGAAATTTGCAGTAAAAGATATCCATGGGACCAGCCAATGGTTCTTTTTTTGCAAAGTAACAGCTATTTATTATAAAACCAAAAGAGGACATAAAAAAACTAGGGCCAATCCAGTTGCAACATATTAGTTTAATCATGGTCAAGTGAAATATCTGTGAGATTAGTACCACTTCTGAGATAGTGCTTAGTTGGTGAACATGTCTGGCTTTTGTGGCCATGTATAGTTCTCATGTGACAGAACATAATCAAGCTTTTTCTGAAGATCTGGCACTGTACTCTTCAACATAGAAATGCTGATTGCATAGGACTGATGTAAAACTGTCAGAACAACCCTTTGTAAGTGAAGATTACATATTTCTGTTGTTTTTATTTTACCCATATTTTTCATGGTTATCTGGTTTCATTTCTGCAAAGATTCTGTAATAGGGACCACTTCTGGTTCTCAGACAACTTTGAAGTAGAGAGGAAATCACGTGAAGAAGAGTATCTGTTTTGCAATCCCATGACTGGTTGTGTGAGGTGTGGTACCCGTCTTTACATGTCCTGGCAAACAGCTTTGAGATATTTTTACATAAGGTGTGTGTGCGTCCGAGAAAAGTGGACAAAATAATTTGAACAAACAATATGACATTTTTAAACATTTAACTTGGTTATGTGGAATCTAAGCAGGGACATCCACACAATGCATAAATAGGACAATAATGAAACAAAACGTGGGCGCTAGCTACTTTTTTGCATCCAAAGCATCTGTACAAACAATAAAATAGCATAAATTAAAGTGACCCCAAACCTGTATGAAAAATGTGTTCTTTAGCCCTTGTGATTTCCTTTTGAAAGATTGAATACTTCTTGTTCAAGACCTAGTCCTCTTTAGGGATCAGTTGTGTAAAACTTCCTCTTTTCATCATTGTCACCTTGTAACAGATCTTGTTGTTTATCCACTTCATAATATTTCCCCTGGGGAACAATGAAGCTTGAATTTTTCCCCTCCAGTGCAAAACTTTGACATGGACTTGTATCTCATTCCTATTTTAAGACAAACGTCTTAGTTTTTAATGATGTACAGTATATTTAATCATTTGTATGGCTTTATTAAGCAATAACTTAACTAATTCATCTTCTCTGGATTAAATAAATTGAAACCTTTGGTTGTTGTTGATAATGAAGTGTTTATTTTCTGTGCTTCAACAGTGTTTTCAACAAGAGTTTTTACATTGTCCAGGGGAAATAACATTCATTTTCATTACATATTGTTATCAATGATTTTCTTTCAACTGGAAATATCCAGTCCTATGTGTTATAAATGGAGGACAAAACTTTATTAATGTGCTCCAAATTAATACTATATTTGTTTAGCTTTTTAGGATACCAACAGAACACAGTGAAATGTTAAAACACATAAGACTGACCTCAGTGATTTCTGTCCACCTATGTGTAATAGGTGTACTGTAGGTGTTTCAGGTCCTGCACCTTCTCCCTTAAAAACTACCTTTTTTTAGAAAATTGTCCTTGGTTTTCTCACTTGAATATGTCGTGATACATTGTACCAGAATAAGAATGTTTATTGAAAACATATATCACCACCAAAACCTCCCACTGGGATGTTGTATCATATTCATCTGAAAGACAAAGAAAGACAAAGATCTTATACCGCCTACCAAGTAGCAGGGGAATTCTACAGTACAGTATATTTGAAAGCAGCTTTAATACCCATGCAGATGCCAGCTCGCACCCCTATATTTGTACGGCAACCAGCCGTGTCCAAATCATCCACTGGGGCTGTCCATACCCGATATGAGCGAGCGATTATCAGTCCCCCCTTCCACTCATTCATGAGGTAAACGCCTGTTAACTGTGCTGATCTGCTCTGTGTTAAAGTGCTGGCAGAGCCATTGGGTTTCCGCTGCCTCATCCTCCCTCTTTCTTGCTGTGCTGGTGTTCTCTTTCTCTTTGCTCGCTCTTTACCGTTCTGTGTACCGACCTCTAAGTTTTCCTGACTGTGATTCTGGATTCCCCTGGCTTTTCGCCTCATTTCTCCCCAGCTTTAAACCTTGCTATTTTTAGTACAATATTTGGAGCTTTCCTACACCACATGAACCGTCTTCTCTGCCATCAGCTCCTGTCTTTCCATCTTTGAGCCCAGCAGGTGGATTCACCCCAGCACTCAGGCTGCTGTGTCCTTGAAGTTGTCCTGTGTCGTTAGAGCAGCATGTTGAGTAGGCCATCCCATGGCCGGCAGAGGAATCCTACTCTGTTGGTCCCCTGAGCAACCCCACCTGCTCCAGGGGCGCCGTATAAATGGCTGAACCTGCGCTCTGACCCCGAGCTTCTCTCTCCCCGTCTGTGTGCCTGTGTCTCTCATGGAGAGCAAGCTAGGGTATGAGAAAAGACAAATTCCTAATGCAAGTAATTCTATATGGCTAATAAAGTGATCTTATCTTTTATCTTAGGTAGGTTAGGTCCCCTTTTCAGGCCATAAAGGCCCATGGGGGAATGGGAGGCATGGGCCACCATTTTTCCTCAACCATCTGACACTGGAGGTGGAGGCGATGTGGTCAGGCATCACGCTCCGGCCGGCCTATTACCCAGAAGGATTAACCCCAGTATCATTTGGAAAGCAGGCTGAGTAGTACTGTATGTGTTCATCAAATATTATTTAAGAAACAAAAACTGTTAATGTTAAGAAACCGTGACTTCCTTCTCTTATCACTTACAATCATTTCTGTAGTAGCTCTGGAGTGCAATAAAATTCGAAGGCCTCTGGGGATAACTGCATCATCAGTAGGAACTACATTTTTTATTCAGTGAAACTTCTCAAAGGCCGCAGTTTCCTTCTCTCTTTTCTTCTGTTCTAGAACAGCCTCACAAAGGGTGTGGTTGCAGTGTTCAGAGACGGTTCAGCAGTGACAACGTCCCTTGCCTGAACTATGTTTGAGTTAAGAGGCATCAGTTATTAAAGACATTAGGAGACGTGCCAAAATGGCAATTTAAAAGCACGAGGTCCTATATTTGTCCTTCAGATAATACGTTAAATTACCCTGATTACTTGCTGTTATTAAAGATCATCTGGCACTGTTATTAGAGTAGGCGTATTAGCCCTAGTGTCCAGGCTATATTCTGCTCTGGGCTCATACAATCTGATCTTCCTAAAGTTCCTTCTTCAGTTGCTCAGGCAATTTTCACATTGACTCCTGATCTGCTGTGTGTCACTTGGGTTGTATGGCAATTCAGTGGATACACAGTTATGGATGAAGTGGGTCCCCTTCTGTATGTGAATCGTTCTGGGATTATATAATACAAGTGAAATCGGCTGTTATTCCTGTTCAATAGAATAGTTAAATCCAGTATCCCGAGATGTATATCATGCTGTATTTTTTTTTATTTTATTTATTTTATATTTGACTGATGCCAAACCAAAGCTGTTTTATCCAAAACAACTTTCATTTGGACCTATTTACAGTCTATAGCTGGGTATTTATTCCAGTGGAACTACCTTGCTCAAATGTACAACAAGCGGTTTCTAACCTGGAATTTGAACCTACAACCTTCCAGTGACAAGTCCAGGACAATTACCACTCTTCACACTGCTGCCCAACTGGGATTGTGTAGTAAAGGCATGATTATAGTGTTATTTTGTTTGTTCATTTTGTTGCTGTTATACATAAACAAGGATTTATATTTTACTGATCGTTTAGATGAGTATATATAAACTTAAAAAACAGAAACATTATTGTATAAATTATAGAGATGGTGTTTTTTTAGGTAAAACATGTTCTGTTTAAAACAAGTTTGTGGTATGCCTACAGTCCACAGCTAGACTTCAAATGGCCATAAAAACTGTTTTCTGTTTTTGGAAGCAGTATTTTGATGTCCTTGTGTCCAGACTCAATTACTGAACCCAACCTTGAAAACTCCTGGCTGAAGAATGGCCACCATATCCACATCTACAGCCCATTTTAACATAAATAAAGGGCTTTTATATGCTTTCCAGGCAGTTGTGCAATTGAGCTTTTTACAACCAGGCTGTTTAATGAAAAAATGTATAAAACAGTGATTTTGTTTTTACAAGAAAGAACATTTATATAGCTGAGGCTGTGCCAGTCCGGCCTACAGGTTATTTTAAAGACTCAGCAATGATCCTGCTGTTAAGGCTGAAAAGATACCCACTTGTTTAGCCTTTTTCTGTTACAAGATTTTGTTTTTAGAAAACTAAGTCTCGAGTGTTTCGTAATGTCATAGATATGTTTTTAGCCCTGCTCAGAAGTTTTATATTGGTGATTCTTTGTCCTACCTGGGGTCATAAATTCTCAGTTTTACTGTGGTCAGATAGGGCTTCCGTTCAGAAAGACAAGCTTGAGCTGCACTTTCCTTTTTTTAAGTGGATGATGGCACTTGTTTTTTCTTAACCCTATATCTAATCTCTGTTAACAAGGCTGAATGATTTTCAACTGCAAAGTGTGTCAGTTTCAATGGGTAATAATACATCAGCACACCTGAAGAAGGCTCCACGGCCGAAACATGTTTTTTCTCTCTTCTCTTTTTTTCAGCATGGAATAAACCTATTACTTGTTCCATAATACATCAAAAGTAATGTTATGGAACCATAGCTGTGATCATCTGAACATGAACAGGAAAAATGACACTGAAGTATTTCTTACTAGTAAAACAAGAGAAAGGTAACTGCAAAATGCACATTTAACAATATTTTAGAATATTTTTTTTCAATGTTTTTTTTTCCAGAATTTGACAGTAATGTTGAGTACATTAATCTATTTGAGATCTTAAATATAATAGCAGTTATTAACTCTATAAAAACTCTAGGAAACCTGTTTTTTAAAAATATATATATACTCTCATTTTAAAATAACAGCCATTTCCCAGTTTTGGAAACACAGAACTTTATTTGTCTACCAACCTGAATGTCATTTCGGACATAACTCTTAAGAAATTTCCTGAATACTGCAATGTCCTGAATAAAGTGCATTTACTGGATATGATTTGATTTGGTACAACAAAATGTACAATACAGAACAACATTTCATTCATAGAACTATAAACTAGTTCTATTGACTATAGTTTTTGTGAAGAATACTTAAAACTGTACATGAGTATGTGTGCCTTATTAGAAGCCCTTTTAAACTGTAATAACAAAATCCACAAAAAGTACATATATTCCATATAAAACCATATTTTTTTCCTGATGGAAATGTGTGAATTTGAAGAAACAGCACCCTAACACAAGAAGCACCTTTCTTCCAATTCAAGATATACCCCAAGGTTAACTGGAGTCCAGAGCACAGAGCAACTTACCTGACTATCTGCCAGGAGCATGTGGTGCTCATTAATTCACAATAGTGGCCATTTGTTCCACTTACTGTATTACCAATAACGCTTCATGTTAATGTGTTATATCTATGAACAGTTTATCAACAGACTAATATGCTCTCATGTAAGAAGCAGTCTGCTTTTGTTGTAGCTCCAATTTAAGTTTGATGTATTTGTATGCAGATACCCTGCAGAAACTGCAAATTGGTTGGGAGCAGTGCTATAGAAAGCTGTAGAGTACGTCCAATGTGGCTCAACTATAATTTAGTGCTTAAATACACTTTCCATTTTGACGCCTGTCCTCTGTACATAGAGAAGAAGACTACCTGAGATGTTCAATAGCATTCTCAGGGAGAGCCGACTATTCACCAATAGCCAAGAAATGCACAATGTCAAAGAGCCACACATTTTTTATACTTTAACACTTAAGGTTTATGGGTGCTATACAAACACACTTTCCATAAGGAAGCATATATTTAAATTAAAACATTTATTAATTGCATAACTACCATTTTTAGTAACTGTTGTAATTTATATATTATTTAAATATTTGTTATAATGTGTATATCTTGTCATACTAAGTGCAGAGAAGAGTGAATTCAACAAAACAAGTCATGGTTCCAGTAACAGCTAGGCAAATTCAAAAGTTTGAGTACAGATCAACAATGATTCTGTTAATGTGAATGAGGTTTGTCACGAAATGATGCCGATTTGAAATGTGCAGGAGAGGTCAAACAAATCAAGACACACTAGCTGTCCATTTCGTTCAAAAGAAAAAATACTCTCCCATTCAGGCATGAAAGTTCAGTTTTCGTCTTCTTATTTTCATTTTTGCTTAACTGCGGTGAGCACTTTTTCAGTTTCCAAGTTCCTCTTAGAAAGTATTGTGGTATGATTGTTTGCAATTAAAAAAAAAAATGTTTCCAGGCTGCTGATTAGCTCAGGATGCAAAGAGCATGTATTGGTTTCTCCTTTTGTTTGGGGAGGGGTTATGATTATGATATGGGTGGGTGAGGGCTGTCCTGAGGTTTCTTGTGTGAGTTTGCAGGAAGCTGTAGCACAGTGCTTTACTGTGGACAGATGCCATCCATCACCCTTAATCTTGCACTGAGGTAAGTTCCCTGGTGACCCAGCCCTGACCTTTCACTGCCCATCGGGGACAGTGTCCTGTTCCTGTGGAGGTGGGCTAGATGAAATTGTTGGAGATCTGGCGCTGGTGCTCGAACAGGTCCTCGATTTCCAGGCTGTAGGCATCTCCTAAGAACAGTGAGACAATGTTGCACAGCACGTTTACATTTAAACATCCGTGTAAATCTTGTGTTCTCATGCATGATACGTTTTTGTCTGCATTTATACAGTACATGTTTGTTACAATTATTTTCGATTCATGCGAGCAGAAAGAGATTGTTTCGGATTCCTCCAAGGTCGGCTGAGCATTGCAAAACAGAGACGTATAGGTCTGTTGGACATATTGATCCATTCTTTCTCAATTTAGCTACTTATTTAAAATGTGAAACTTTGACCTACAGTACTATTTTAATCTCTTAAAACAGCTAAACTTCTAGCAGACTGGAAATCCACCCTTGTTTTGCTCTTGTTAAAGAGGGCAATAGGACAGACCATAACTGCTATAAGTCTAACTCTACCTTGCCTTGCCTATTTAAGATCATGGAAAGAATTGTTAATGAGTAGTTAAGCTTTTATTTTTACATAGCAATAATATTTTCTCTTCTGTGCAGTATTTTGCTCTAGGTGTGGTTTTGTTACAGCAGTCTTAAAAGTCTTAAATGATGTTATAATGACCTTTGGCAACAATTGGACTTGTGCAACAGTCTTTATTTATCTAAGATTTATCTAAGATTTTTGATACTGGAATACATAATTCTTTGAATTTTTAAAGATGCCTCATCCTCTAAGTATGTATTATTTCACATGTCTATACTCCTCATTTTGGTTTAAAGTTTATGACAGAACTGTTAGCAATGGTCTCTTAACGTATTCTTGGAAGTTTGGAAGTTTGATCACTGATGCCCCATATTGTACTCATTAATGTAATCTTTATTCCATGACCCATTCATCTTCTTTATACCTTTAAAATGATTCATTGGTGTAGATTAATGTACAAAATGCTGTTTGGGAATTTGCTTTTCTTCTAGGTTCTCTGTTAGATCTTCAGACCTAAAATGCCCTCCAGATGTATTGGAACAGTAAAATATTAAACTGGAATTTTAACTGTGATCTTTGATAACCATTAATCATAGGGGAAAAATACAATTGAAACATAAACATTTTTATAAAAGTATTAAAATGTCATAATAATAAAAATCTTGTATTTTTAATCAGGTCAATTCAGGTATTCTTTATGGGATCAGTCTGAAATGCAGAAGAAAAGGCAGGATTTGAGCGTGCACAGCAAACTCTACAAGGGATTGCTCAACTTTACTGATGATGTCACTAATGATGGCAGCAGCACAATGAAGTCTAAAGTTTATAGAAACATTTTGTCTTATTTAGAAGTAAATGTTTCCGCGCTTCACACTGCTGCATGAGAATACAGCCAATGCCAATTTCCACCTCCAGACTTAAATTTCAAGTATGCATTTTACATGCTAAAATAGAAATTGTAGTCAGATCAACCCAAGATTAAGGAAAATGCAAACTGCTGCAAAGTCTTGACAAAGCAACTCAGATGATGACACAAAGAGGCCTGTCAGCTGGATTGTTCAGACAATCACACTCTGAAGTTTACTTAAAGTGAAAATGTGTCGTCACTGGGCTGAACACAAAGTATATTTTTTGTTTCAATATGATCAAATCTCTAAATAGAATTGTTAAAAAATCAAATGTATATTGTTCTGACAATTGATACTAATTGATATTAATCTTATGATCACTAATAAATATTGTGTGTGAGCAAAGCAAAAATAACTGCTTTGACTTTCCTGTATCAATACTTTTGGATGGCACTGTAAGCAATTTCAAGCAATGATAATTATTAATAATACAATGATTGACTAACTTGAAACTCAGATATTTTTTTTTTTATCAAAAGTATTTGAATTTGCAGTGCCTAATGACTGTAGAGTAAGCTGAAATTGTCCAATTTTGGTATCTGATGTGTCTTCAATTGAATATGTAAATAAGTATTTTTTTTATAGTTTGATAACTCGAATATTGCAAATTTAAACTTTATTTATTTTTCTGTTTATCTTCCATTTTATTTTATTTTTTGTTTACCATGGAGCAAAGGTACAAACCTCTTGGTCAAGTCATTGTAAATCACTATTTGTCTTCTTCTACAAGCTTCTGTTATTATCTGTTGTGGGCTGAAATTGAGTTTTCATTCCATATGTGTTTTTTCAAACTTATTTGCCCATGTTCCTTAGTTGATCAGTAATTTGGAAACTTAGTTCCATCGTGCATCATTAGTAAATGTCACAAGGTGTTGTGAGGTGTGTGAGCATCTGTCCTGTAGGCCGAGCTGATCCGTGCCTTACCTGTGTGACAACCATACATCCAGATCCGGTTGCCATCGTACTTGCATCGACACCGCATCACATTGTTAGTGAAATCCGATTCCGCCATGTCCAAAGAAGGATTTACCTCAACCTGCAAGAGCAACACAGCATAGCTTCATACGAGTTTCTCCTAGGAACGTATAATGAACTCAGATTTCCAGAGACAGTTTCTAGTGATTCTCTGCATTTTACATTCTATGGAATCTTTGTTGTGCCAGGGAGACCATAAAAAAGTATTATTACTGAGTCTTTCTCTTATTCCTAGTGCAGCATCGTCTGGGGTAAACAATTGCTCTTCATTGGGGAGAAAGACACAACATTAGAACAAATGTAAGAGCACTCCTGAGTTTAATTTCACACAGGAAAAGGAACATTTTTCAACATGGGAGCCTTAGGGTGCTTTGGGGAAATGAGGGAGAGAGCAGGAACATGCAGCGAAGGGGTGGATGGGGAGGGTAAAAGATGAGAAGGTGAAAAGGCAGGTAAAGAGATGAAAATCTGGCTGTCAACGTCTAGGGGGTGTGCAGCAAGCAATTATCTGTCAATGGTATTTAAAAAGACTTTTGTTGGTTTGTGAGTGCTGGAGGAACGTGTGCATTTTTAAGATTAATTTTAGTTTCTGACATTTATGAAGTGTAGGAGTCTTTGAACACAGATAACAAGGTCTGCATAATCATGGTCTGGAGAGCTATAATGGGAGACCATCACCTTGGAAAGATCTTTGATCCTCACTGCTTTCACGTTTCCTGAAACAATCAGCCAGTCTTGTTACTGTTTCACTGTTTCTCAGACTGAATGGAAGGGCATTTTCTGCAAGCATGCA